GGGCCTCAAAAAGTCTATGTCTGCCATTATTCCACTCATTGACAAGTTAAACCTTGATTCCATGGAAGCAGGGGCAGAATTATAGCATGGGACAGATGAAACTCATTTTCACAACTGATGAATGCACTCCTCAGTCTAATAGATGATCCTTTATTAATGTTATGTTGCTGTATGATAAATTCAGCAATGACACCTCAATCAACACTGCAAGGAAGAATACATTTTTACAGAAGACTACTTCATTATTGAACACATTCCTCCAACAGCTGACACCTTAATGCAACACTGCAAGGGGAGCATTGTACCAAGGTGTACATATCTGGGGTCAGTTTAACAAACCAAGTCCTATCATTCCCCGGGTATCATTCCATCTCCAAAGAACTGGGGCTGGAGAACAGAGCCAAGAGACAACAACACTTAGAAGCCACACAGGACTACCTAAAGCAGATGGCTGATGCTAGTCAACCATTGGTAAAGTGTGGTTGTCAGAAGCAGTGTTTCCCATCAAGATGTCCCAGCTTGAAGGCTGCTCTAGTATGCACATCATTGTGTGCCTGTAATGGAGATCGAGTACTCATTAGAATAACTAAAGTAAGGGTTTAAATATGATAATACCATATAAGATGCAAGATACCCCCTATTTACCCCCCCCCCAAATTTATATGGTTGACATCTTAGAGTTGGCATTCTACTGTAAAATAATAAAATAGAATAGTTTTTTATTATGCATGGTACATGATACAGATCAAATCTTGGCTCTCCAAACTATTACACGCTTCCTTCAACAGTTCAATATATTATAAAACACAGTTTTGATTTTGAACAATTTCACCAATAGGTGGCGCTATGGAAGACATTCTTCATTATGTGTTTATTTAAATATTGTTTGGAAAGGAATCAGTTTCTACTAAAACATACAAACCTAATATATTCTGATGAAAAAAGGATAGAGATATGATAGGTACAGTACTACAGTATATATGAAATGTACATATTTTAATGATTTATCGAAAATTTGGACGAAATCTTAAAAATGGGGGAAATGAACAACCAAAATCTTCTTTTTAGATAATTTAAATATTTTTCAGGGTAGAAATATTATAAATTGATGTTGAAAAATACTAATTAACCACATTTTATTGAAAAAAGGAATGAAAAAAATTATCAAATGAATATTATATAATTGTCGGCAATTTTGGCGGCCATCTTGGATTTTCACCAAGAAGGAGTGCGATCCGCGCTTGGCAATGCGGATCAAAATTTTCAGAATGTCCATATTAGTCTATGTGCCAAAAATCTAAGAATATATATGATCGCGAACTATCGAGCCATTATTGACTGGGCTATTTTAAGTGATACTGTATAAAACATTTTCAATGTTTGAAAATTATAATCTTATAAATAACATTTTATGTAATAAAACTGTAACTGAAATGGTAAATACGGAATATGATGCAATACAATGCAGTGCAATATGATGTAATACAATGTGGTGCAATATGATGTAATACAATGTAGTGCAATATGATGTAATACAATGCGGTGGAATATGATGCAATACAATGCAGAGCAATATGATGCAATACAATGCAGTGCAATATGATGCAATACAATGTAGTGTAATATGATGCAATACAAAGCAGTATAATATGATGCAAAAAATGCAGTGCAATATGATACAATACAATGTAGTGCAATATAATACAATAAAATGCAGTGCAATGCAATACAATGCAAAACAATGTCGTGCAGTGCAATACAATGTAGTTCATTTCAATACAATGCAGTGCAATACAATGTGGTACAGTGCAATACAATACATCGCAGTTCAATACAGTGCAGTGCAATACAATACAGTGCAATACAATACATCGCAGTTCAGTGCAGTGCAATACAATACAGTGCAATACAATACATCGCAGTTCAATACAGTGCAATACAATGTAGTGCAATACAGTGCAATAAAATACAATACAGTGCAATTCAATACAATGCAATACAATACAGTGCAATACAAAACAATGCTGTGCAATAGAATACAGTACACTGCAGTACAATACAATGCAGTGCAATAAAATACAATGCAGTGTAATAAAATGCAGTGTTATTCAAGACAATGCAATACAATACTGTGCAATACAATACAGTGCAATATAATACAATACAGTGCACTGCAATGCAATGCAATACAATATGGTGCAGTGCAATATATTGCAGTGCAATTCAAAACAATGCAGTGTAATACAATGCAGTGCAACACAATGTGGTACAGTGCAATACATTATAATGCAGTGCAATACAATACAATGCAGCGCAATACAATGTAGTACACTGCAGTACAATACAATGCAGTGCAATAAAGTACAATGCAGTGCAATATAATATAATACAGTGCAATGCAGTACAATATAATGCAATAGAATACAATGCAGTGCAATACAATACAATGCAGTGCAATACAATAAAATGCAGTACAATACAATACAATGATGTGCTATACAATACAATACAATGCAATGAAATGCAATTCAATGCTATGAATGTACACCTTCTACAGTCAAATAAACACAGATAAAATTGTAATAGTATGTTAGTGTATGGAGTTTGAAGTGGGTGGGGGATACAATTACCAGTCTGCTGATTGATGACTTAATAACTTAGAAAAGATCTCCTAGCTTTTAACAGGTGGCACTTATGTCTACCTTATGTTCTTGAACAATCTCGTCTAAGAATACAGACCCGTATCCTGGATTAACCTGGGGGAGTGGTTTTACCAAGGGGGAGCTTTTGCCAAGAGGGGGGGGGGCTTTTTGACAGTTATGGCAAAAAAATCATGCGAAAAGTGCTAAGAATGGTGAAAAACTGCATGATTTTGAACGAATATTTGGCAAGGGGGAGGGGGGTGAGGCCCCCTGGCTACGGCCATGGAATACATATAGGAACTTTCCTTCTCCCAGAAGAAATGGTATACAGGTATTACATCAATCATTCTGGTATTTTGTATACGAAGGTCTGTAGTGCACACTTTATTGAAAGATGACAATGTACACTGTGTACTACCATTTTGAGGTCAGTTTGACTTTATAATTCTGCGCACTATAATCTGTAATTCTCATAGATATCCTCTCTAGAGGCATCACTGTGACCCAAAATTACAATTTCGCAGGTCAAGTCTGCAGTCTTTCGAAAAAAGTTGAATTCGTTGTGCTACCCTTTCTTGTTGGGCATTTATTAACAGAAAACTATATTTACATCGCGCCAGCATATACAAGCTTCAGCGCGATATTTTGAGTGTGTTAATAAATAAAGTGCGCAGAAATCGATCTTACTGGGCCGCGGTGTGCGATATCACTCATAAACAATTTTTAATTGCGCACTGAATGAATTACAGGGGGCGCGTTGTGCAAAGTGAATTAAATAAATAAAGTGCGCAGAAATCTATCTGACTGGGCCGCGGTGTGTGATATCACTCCCATGTTATAACTCCATTGAATTTTAAATTCTGCGGTATATATCCCCTTTCGCTTTCCGTAATAAACAGACTGACGATAGCAAAATTTCCAAAGCTATATGAAAAACACAAAATGAGAGCATTTTTATCAGAATATATGGATCGCCTCTTGTAATAGTAGAACCCCGTAATTGAAATACTATGTGAGTCCATCCATCAAGATGAATCTGGAAATAATAATCGTTCCCAACTTAATTGTTACTTCTATTATACATCTTGACTTTCAATATGAAAATCTCATAAAATCTGACGATAGCAAAATTTCCAAAGCTATATGAAAAACACCTTCACACCTGTCTCTGTAGAAATTCCAATGATAATATGTGTATGCGCGCAGTTTGTAATTTCCTGGCTAAAATAGGCGCGCAGTTTGTGCTTTATTTCCTTTTAATCTCCTGATTATTTGTTTTATCTCGAAATATTTTGAATTCAACATGATAAATGCGTAAGGAATTAAATATGAAACGAGTTTTTCCTAGAAAGAAAACAATGCAGGATAAATGTCTTAAAATTACGTTTTAAAATTCAGACTCCAACTTGAATGATGCAATGTTGTTAGGCACGCAGTTTGTGATCGAAACAAACTCACCCTGGGTATAGTCTGTCACGTGACTTCATGGATGACGTGTGCGCGAGTGATTCGCATTTTCTTTCGCTTTTTAGGCGCGCAGCTTGACACGGGCACCGTTCAGATTAAACACAAAGTTTAACTCTACCGTGATGTCATACCATTGATCCTCTTATTCAACCTATCTGCATTGCAAGAAAGAAAATAAATACGATGAGATCATAGTACCTACTCACATACATGCTTCTATTTTCAGAATATTCTCATGGGATCATGGATTGTGTTGTTCAAATATTCGGTTTGTTCACAACTCCAAGGTATGACTCTGCTACACAATGTTGGACAAAAGGATGATGGCGATATAAATCTCTGCATGGAGGTTAGGAAGTATTTCATCTATTCGTTCACAACTAACCTCTAAGCATGTGCAAAGGAAGCTAAAATTGTCTCCGATTTTGCAGTCTTCCAGAAAACCCTCGATGATTTAACTGTGCTACTATTAGTGATTTACCCTTTGCATTCGTTTGACTTCACTTCTTAAAAGAGAGCTTCGTCTTAGTTTAACTAGACTCTGCACGCAGGGTATTTGTGATTCAGCATCTTACAAGCTAGACTGACGTAATTTGACGTCGAGGAATAATGAAGTCTTGTTAGTAAAGTTTATGACACAAGTTGAAACTTTTTGTAGAATTAATTTCTCCGTCCTTTTCTCCATAGACATGGACTTAAAGGGACTGGGATAGATAGCGATGAGTTGGGACCTGGACTTATATTTGAAACCTTGAAGAAACTAGAAGGGATTTAAATGGATTATAGCGATGACAGATGTAAGTCAATCTTTTTGCTATAAATCAAACAATGAAATCGTCATTTAATTGCAAAAATAAACAAGGTTAAAGGCCACCGTAAGACAATATATACAGTGCTACTAATCGCTGCAGTGATCATGTTTGTTAAATAAAAAAATAGAAAACACAAACGGAAATGTCAGAAATTACGACTAACATAACAACCATTAGAAAAGTGTACAGAAAGGTGATTTTCCATGTTATTTACACAATAGAGGAGCAACAAACTTAGGTACAACTTAATTTCTTTATTTTACATCTAATATACAGTGTTTTAATTCTGGGCTGGGCCAGAGGTGTTAGGGTGACCAGCACCCAGAGATACATCGTTCTCATGTTAATCCTAAATTTCAATTGACCATGAATGATGTCAACATTTAAGAAGAGTGCTCAGACGCTGTACATTGGAGAACGAAATTGGTGATGGCACAAGATAAAAGTTCAAAATTGCCAACTGCAATGTAATGAATGCGTCCTCTGGAATACCGTCATTAGCCACAGCTAACAAACTAATATAATGATGTCTTAATGAATAAAAATGAACAGTTGCGAGCAGAGTCAAAATTAAATACTATATAGTATGTGTCTATAATATGAATGAATCTAAATGTATATGTACATTTCGTGGCAACGCAAAACCATCTTTGATGGCGAAGTATATAAAATACCTGGTTAGTGTTTTTTCTGACATTCTGTAACTGACTTATAATATAAAATATATACAGATTTAGGGTTTGACCCATTACTAAGAGACGTCCAGAAATGTTATATTTTCTGTGTCTTCTGCTTCATCTCTGGAAAGAGTGGACAGATGAGTTGATGTTCTGCCCATTGTTGTTTTAGCCTCTCCAACTCGACCTTTTGATTCTTAATCTCGAATTGGAGTGTTGTGTTCTCGGATTCTAGCTTTTGTTGTTCCTAAAATAATACAAATAAAGATACAAGTAACACTTTTGTACAATCGAAATCAATAAAATACGACCAAAACCCCGAAAGCATCCAAAAATGGATCAAATTTATGTTAGTCTCAGATACATCAAAAATCTAATTAGTAGGGACCTTTTGTAAATAGTACCTTTTGCAAATAATCTACTTGTTTCCTCTTCTTTTCCCTGCATTTCAAGGCAGCCTTCTTGTTTCTCTCTCGTCTATGAAGGAGGAGATCTCTGTCGTCAGGGTTCAACTTCGAGGGATCTTTAAACTAAGAGGACGAAATGATTGATCAATACTATATTTACATGTTTTGCAAATGAAGACACTCCATAGTGTTATTTAACAAATGCAACTCTTCAAACTACGTTACGAGTTACGTAAACGAATCTATTTTCTATTACAAAATGTCTCCCTCGAAGATACGATTTTCTTTTCAAGGATTTCACGAATTGAAGGCAAAATTTCCACAACCTTTTTTATACAACAATGTGTCATATATACATATAATATGTTTATCAAAATCTATTAATTCGGAATAGTGTACGAGGCGCCTGAATAATAAAAATATTTCCTCACTATTATTACGTAAACGGAACGGTTGAATGTGCAGATTTTAACAGTTTTTAACGTCGCAAACGTTTAGATTTTCTATAGCATATGATGCTGACAAACATTTTTGTTAAAAAGGTCGTGGAGATTCTGCCTACATATCGAGAAAACATAGAAAAGATAAAATTGCACCTTCGTTGCTGTGACATTTTCATAACATTTTGAAGAGTTACTTCACAGTGGATGAATGGTATTCAAATATTAACCGAATGTTGATTGATCAATCAGGCTAGTGTTGAATATCTTAAAACCTTTCGTTATTATATTGCCCCTCTTTCTTCAGCCCTTGACACCCTTGATGGGAGGGGGTTCGGAAGACTTGATGTAAAATATAACTAGTCGAAGACAACACAGAGTATACAACGATAAAGTTCAAGTATGAGCTCTTATCACAAATCGATACGATCGATATGATCGATATGGTTTTATTTTCTTTTTGAGTGTATGAAGTCATAGTTTAAATTTCAAGGACGTCGAAAGTCCTCGTTACGACATCTTATTTCAAAACGAAAGTAAAATTAACATGGGGTGTTTGGGCCAAATTCTCTCAAACAATATCAAATATACCTTTGGACGCAGACGCTCTTCTGTGTTTAACCTGTCTTCTATGATGGATGGATCATCCGCATCTTTTTCCGTCTTAACCTCAATTATTGGGTTGAAGTTATCGTCACCTGATTTGCGTTTTCGCTGGGAAACCTTTTGCCTAAGTTCGTTTTTAACAGCAGTAACACGACCAACTGCAAGTTGTGCAGCTTGGGTCGGGAGATTTGTATGATGTCCCATACTCGGAAACATGTTCTGTGTATTGTTATTATTATTAAGTATATTTCCATTTTCAACATCAGTGGGGTATATGGGTATCCCCATCCCACTAGCCCCAGACAGATGGGCGTTCAAATCTTCTAGTTCACCATCAGAGATATTCTGAAGTTGGATCATTTGGTTTTCCATGTCTAATGGATTCATAGTAGTGTTATTGTTCGGGTACATACATTGCGACTGTATATAGTTAGGGGGTTCCAATCCCTGGTTAAAACCAGTCGGAATATCACCAGATGAGCCAGTTTGTCCATGTTGTTGGAAATGTCCTATTTGTGCCCCGTATGTATCACGAGCGGGAGGTGTATTATACATGTCTGTGGAGTCGGTTTCATCTACCGATTCCCGATCGGAACTATCTGAATCGTCGGAGCTCTCCGCATTTATATCAAACGTTGATAGCACAGTTGGAAGCACTGAAATAAGAGCAAATTTGAAATTTTAATTTCAGACTGCAGAACAGTACCATCTTGTGCCTAGATTGCCAACAAAATGTCAGCGCACTGATTTGGTTCGTTATCGATGTGCGTGGGCGCCGTTACCTAAAAAAATTGACAATGATAAAATGATAAGAGAAGAATGACAAAAATATCTCAAATGTGGGTGTAGTTCAAATCTTATCATGTAATTCTACCATGCATGGGTTTTTGTAGTATATTTGCTTCCTTGTTTCACAATATCGAATATGTATTGTATACGTGTCCTAGTTAGATCTACTTACTGTCTCCAAGATAAAGGTCACGCTTCCAATCGTGTATAGTCTGTATGTGTTATTATTTGCTATTGCACGACTGAATTAAGCTATATTCCATGTTATGCACAATGTTATATAAGATGAAGACTATGAGATGATGTGATCCTGCAATTTGTAACTGAAGCTGAACAATTGAATCCGTCCAAATCAAAATTGGAATTTACGTTTTCAAACAGGGGATTCCCCCATTCCGTTTCAAGGCGCGAGCAAAATTAGGGGAAGTCCCTTTCAGAAAATCCATACTTCAAACAAACAAAATAGCAAATGCCAGAAAGCAGCGATAACTCAACTATAAAAAATGTTAAATATGTAGAAAATCAATAGGGAACAATATAATACAGAGGTAGAGTTCTTCAAATAGTGTCATTGCTGAGCCATTTCAATGAGGTCCTTTTTTGTCATAAAGTAGTGAATCGGCAATAGATTTTTAAAATCAAAACTGATGAATTTGGGAACTCGTTTGTAAAAACTGTCTCCAACCTAGCGTAATCCGCATATCCATGATTCGCGGATGAGCACGCAGTCACAGGCCGGGCCATAGACTTCACTGGCGGATCTAGGGGGGGGGGGGGGGGGGGGAGGCGCCGACCCCCTTGGGTGGGCCTAGAAAAAAAATTGGGCCCAGAAAATTTTGCCCTTAAGGCCCCAAAAAGTGGGTCTTTTGGTCATTACTGGCCCTTTCAAGGCCTTATTTTTAATTGCAGGTCAAATTTTGAAGAAAATGGGCCTCAAAATTTCAAAATTTGGGCCCACTTTTCGGTTTTAGAGGGGCCCAAAAAATGTTCTGTGCAAGCGCTGAAGTTTTTTCTCTGACCTGAAATTTGGGCCCCCCTTGTAGGTTCTCAGATCCGACCCTGGACTTAGTACTACTAACTCAGAGCTATTCCTTCACAGTGTACAATTTTAAACTCAGAGCTATTCCTTCACAGTGTACAAACGCGACATCTATTTTGGAAGTTCGGGTATTTATGCCGAAATCATTCGGCATCCACTCCCAGACTTCACTCCAGACTTTTTTAACTGTAGAACTATAATAAAAAGCAAGTATTCGTTCTTCCTTGAATTAGCTTTTTCAAAATAGCAATACCATAAGTGGCTTAATGAAACAACGGCAGTTCATCGGTTGGGAAGGGGCTTCGAGAAGTCGTGACGCAAGACTGCAGGTGATAGTTAGCAATATCTGTTGCCTGTTACTATCTAGGTATCATTATGGGTATGGCCTGGGTATGATCGACGGATTCCTTCTCTTTTATGAAAAGTTGTTCTTTTAGTGTAGAGGAACTGAAAACGGGTAATCAGAAGTATAAAGGCACAGTCAGATCTAGCGAGTAACCTTCACAAAAAACATTTTGGGTTCGTGTCATTTGTCATATCTATTTTCAAGAGAGAATTTATACATTTGAATTTTAAAGAAATTCACAATTTGACAGAATATCAAAGGTCTTTTTGGAAGACGTAATTTTTGGGATCATGAAGAATACATCGGTAGGTCAATTGTACACATTGATTTTATAACAGTACACCCTCCAAAACCACCCCTCCTCTGATTCTGTCTTGAGGAAGGTGCCATGAAGAGTAGAGACAACTGAGAGTTTCTAAAAAACATTAATATTTTTTTGCTCAACATGTCACATGAAATGTCAATTTTCTAAAAAGTTTGCCTTCAAGATTTCACACCCTCTATCCTTGCTGCCTGGCTCAGCTTTATGCCTTATGTTAAAGACAAAGTTACACAAATCAAGGAAAAATTACAACATATCCTATCTTTAGACGGAATATTAACTCGCAATTTGATTACTTACCTCATTTTCATTTGATGCTAATCCTAAACAGTAATTTATATATGACCTATATCCCAGTCATTTAAAATATATACGATGTCGTCTAGCTATTTAAATAAAATCAAATTACATAAAATGTTTAGTGTTTTCGACTAGATTTTTGATATTCTCCACACGGGCTTATAGGTCTAGAGTGGGCGAACTAGCTCGATGTGTGTAAACTATTTCCTATGATGTTTTACTAGCCTACATTATTGAACACTTTATGAGATTCAAATCCAATGTCAAATCAAGATCAATTTGCTAAAAGGAAACTAATTTCGTGTATATATACATGTAAAGTAAGTATTTGTGTCTAAACGAACATTTAAGTAGCGCGATACTGTTCTCCAAACAGTTCAAGCTAAACTATAAAACAAAGTGTGGAATAGTAAATAATATCAAAAATGAAATGACAAATTATTGTACACGCGTCTGAAATCGTGATTTACAATAATTACTATTTTGGGAGAAAAGCACCATCATGTATCTGAAAATACAAGAGTAATACAAAAGAAAAATACTAGGGAAATTGACCAGGAAATGCCATTGAGAAAAATACAAGGGCAATGCATACCAGGAAAACAAATTGAAAAAATATATCCAATGACAAATTAATTGACTATAGAACTATTTATATTCTAAACAGTGATTATCAAAAAAAACTATTAAACCTCTATTTGAATGGCAAACACAAAAGCCTAACACAGCTCTCACTTTCAATATGATCAAATGATTAGTTACAAAATATTAAATGCAGTTCTCAGTGAATAAAGAGTTTCATTTGTCTACTAGAAAAGTTCAATAAACCTCGATAAACCATATGTGTATAAACCTATTTCTAAATTATATACTTTTTATTTACACTTCCACAGTGAAGAAGTCAAGGCGTCCAAAGAACGTATAACACATCTGTATTCAAGTAAAAATAGCTTATGGGTAAAACGATACCCAATTGACAGATAAGTCTCAAGAATCTTAAACAATGTGTTACGTACTATTTTGCAGAAGCTATGATTTAAATCATAAATCTGACGTGTTGAATTATAAATTTAATGATCAAAATTTACCAGCGAAGTGTAGTTGAAGTAACTTTCATGTGTATGCATTTAAATGGATTTATAGTTGAACATACGAATACATGCATACCATGTTATTAGATCTAAAGAGTCGAGAAAAGATAAATAGTATATTGTTAAAAAGATACTAGTTTTTGAAGGCTATAAAGAAGCTTTCTGTTCTACAGTACAGTATAAATAATATACATAACATTGAGGTTGCCAAACTCTTATTGTACCATATTAACAATTCCCGGAGTCATAATTTCAATTAAGATGATGGAGATCCTAACGGGACCCCGGGCAGTCAGATTCGGACACAGCGCGACGGTCTCTCGTGAAGCGTGACCGATCGTGGTGACAGTCCGGTGAGCTGATCGCGTAATTGATACCGTGACAGGTAGTCTTATAAAGCAAATAAGTTTTTCGTTAGGTTCGTCGAAATTTCTGTTGGCAAGCATATTTTGATTACTTTCTACGATTCCCGGGATCGGTCCCCAGGGACTGACACGCTTCACCCGTGAACTGAATGATGTACATTTTAACAATCAATTAATTATTACAAAGTATGAGTCATACAATAACATAGCATTACTTACATTATAATGGTTGTGTATATGTGTACAAAGTTCACCTAAATATGTCTGGTGATTCATCCCTCTCGTCTACTAGTATTTCTAAAGCCACTAAACACATCCTGCGTGTGACTCATCCCGCCAAAATGTAAACGCCATCTTTAGATAACTTATCCAAGTAATCACCTTAACCAGAAATGTGTTACTTTTTGACGTCATATTCTTACCAGAAAATAAAATGGGTGAAACATTAACTTTGTACTCAAAATCATATAAGTGGAACCTTGACAACGCACAATTAAAAATACTAAGTCTGAAATGTACTGTGTACATATTACAGATGACAAATTAATATTAAAATGGAAAGTTCATTAGTCCCGGGGCTAGTGCTTGAAATCCATTCGATCTCCTCACCCCGGCGTAAACAGAGCGCCCAACTGATTAATAATTAGGGAGTTGGCCCTTAGGAGTTGGAAGTCGGTGAGAGTTGAAGTTGACTTACCAGTCTTTAGAAGGCTGACTGATCTGATAGACCTGTGAGTCCCCGGCCCCGGGAATCAGTCAGTCTTTGAAATAGGTAAGATCCCGGGGAATTTACCAATCATGACACGTTTGTAGTTGCATATTAAATACACTTAAAATCGTTGATTCATATCTTAAATGAACATAAAAATAAACCAATTCGTCTTGAATGAATTATTGTTAGATTAGAAAGTATTCCCGTTGAAGGAATATAACCGCAGGTAGTGATGAAAATGTAGACCGTTCATGTTTGAAAATGGCGGACGGACAACGATATTCCGAAATCTATTAAAATTTCAATAATTGGATACTTTACATGAACAGTCCAATACGTACGATCAATTTTCGTTCCAAATGTTAAGAATATGCCTAAGAAAAATCAAGGACCATTGGAGCTGGTTCAGCTAGAAGCAGGAGAGCTATTGAAGGAGGTAAAGTCTAGAGAGTGAATTAATTTTCGTCGAATTTTTCACTGAAAAGTGAAATGAATTAAATTTTGTGTATACTTTAGGGATCAGTCTATCAAACCTAAAAATAAGCAATCAAAGGTCCAGAATGCAATATTTTAGATGCAAAACGGTTGTATAATAACCCTCCCCCTTGATAGGTTCTGGATCCACCAGTGCGATTAGGGCCTTATCATATAGATTTGCATGTATGGCAATCATTGGCTTTTTTCTGTGAATGAGGATTCCTTTTCAAACAAATTAGGCAAACTGCCAAGGCATCCTACAACCCTCAGGTCCACTGGAAGTTAAAACTGCTTCTTTGTTCCTAAGTGTTTCCCTAAGTGTTTGTCCTGGGGCTACTTCGACCATCGGGTTATTTCAACATTGTCTTATATTTTTAGGGGGTTTTCAATTCACCCTCGACCATGTTTGTTTTTGAAATTTCAAAAAATAAATCGAAATGTCCAACAGCCGAGATCTTAAGATGGCTGACCTCTTGAAATGTGAATTATCATCCATGTTCGAAATAACCTATGGAGGAAGTAACCAACCAAATACATTGAAATTCAACGCAGGACTCTTAATTTGCTCATTACCATGTGAATGTGCTCTTATTGATATTTATTTATCTATTTGCGACATTATATTCAATTTATGTTTAATCAGGCAGTGTATATACCTATTTAGGGTGTCCACTGTACAAGTCTAAAAATAACTGTCTGTTCTTCAAGAAAATCAGCCAAAAATAGGAACAAGTACTTAACTGGCAATTTTCGATTCGTATATGGAAATGTACATGTTGCTTGCCACATTTGTTAGAATCAACACATTCAAGAAGAAAAATATTGTCTTGTAGAATACAATGTTATGGTAACAAGTAGACTACATTTTGTGTTTTGATGACGTCAATTTAGTACATTTTAGTCACTAACTGTGATCGTTAAGTAACATAATACACAAGGATTACGTGCATTAATTTGTTAGTTATATTTTGGCCTGATATGTTTGGGGTTTAAATTAAAGGAGCTTTGCAAAAAAAATCACGTTTTGAATGTGAATTTTTATGTCACCACTACTCCAACTTTTTTGCAGCAGTTGGTGGTGTTTGGTGGTTTGGCATTCAGCATTTGGCATCTGTAACAAATGGCAGGTGGTGATATTTTGCACGTTAATGCCTTCCTTTTTACATCTTTGTCAGCCATATTGTTTTTTAGGGTAACCAATCTAATCACAGGATTAATCAAAATGGTGGATGTGAAATTTTCCATTGACTTTGATAGTACTTGCAGGAAGGTTGTGTACTGACGATCCCATGTAGTTTACAATGTACTGTAAATCAATTAAATGTCTATACATGTATATTACTTTTAAAACAGTATAATCCATTGTTATGTCACCATAAAAAGTAGTGATATATTGTAATAGCCTTCAACTTTTTGTGGACAATGTTCGGTTTTGGCATTCGCTTTTGGTGTGTGGTGATTGGGGTCTGTAACAAATGGCAAGTGGTGACATTTTGCATGTCAATGCCTTGTAATATACAGTTCATGTATTGTCCATGTATCACTCTATAAAATTTGAGTTTCATGTATATGTGAAAAGGTTACAATGTATTGTGTGAAAAGGTTACAATGGCATTTCTGCTTTAACAATAACCAGATACAGGACAGTAAATACAAATCAGGGTTTTAGATAAGATAAAAGAATAGTTCATGGTGTGGTGTAAAAAAAGCAAGAGACATGAGTAACTCTATGTTATTCCCTCTGATGATAGATAGGAAATTTAGTACACCATAATATTTTAGTCATAATCCAAAATTGCCATTGCAACCAAAAGATATTGGATAAAAGTAGGGGGCAGTAGTATGACAGACATTCCTGATGGTAGAGATTAAAAGGTGGATTGGATCGAGTGGATTGGATTCATGTAAAAGGTGGATTGGATCGGGAATCTTCAAAATATGGATGTTTTCAGTTGATCTCCCTCTAAGCAATTTCCTTTGGCCTTAAGTATTTTGTGATTACTTGGGTCCCTTTAAGGAATCGACAAAGCAATGACATACCTCAATTAGTTGATAGATTCTCTAAAGTATTTAACTGCTCTCCCTTGTAAATCAACATTTATAAGACAATAAACATAGTTTTGTAGATATAAACTGTCATTCAAATTGATGTGTGGGTGTTCCCAAGACATTTCTGCCATGTTCTGTTTGAATTTAAAACAGATGATATGGATCTTCGACTTCAAAAGTCTGCCTTGTGATTTATGAAATGTCTAAAATTACCCTTGGAATGAATAAGATTGTGTATCAGGTCACCCTTCTGGCCCACCCAAGCAAAATGATATAACATTATTTGACATTGTGGAAGTGAGGAGAGCATTATTCTTCTGATGGGAGATCAATATAAATTTTTTAAGGAAAATCTATATTTTGAAGAATCCCAATCCAATCCACCTTTTACATGAATCCAATCCATTCGATCCAATCCACCTTTTAATCTTTACCTTCCTGATAGTGGACCATATTCTTAGAGATAGTCTAATCCTACACCTAGACAGATTTTTCTAGAAAGCTTGGTTTATGTTTTACGTTCATAAAAACCAAAAACACTGGATGGATTGATTTGAACTTTTTAGGAATCAACTTGTTTCTTACTTTTAAAATGCCAATACTTTCTGTCCCTATATCATGACACTATTGATGTCTGTAAAAGTGCTCAGTTTTTGATTTTTGTGAATGGTATTATTCACCGTGTGCCTCATTTACATTGTGAACGGAATATATTACTTATATATTATTTTCTGCTTTTTGGTTTATCTGTAGGTTGACATATTAGCAGAAGAAAGTCAAGTGAATCTTGAGGACTCTACTATAAAAAATAGATCAAAGAAACTGAAAGAACTGTTCCAAACCTGTAATGAATGCAATAAAACTGCTGAAAATTTACTAAAAAGAGCTCAAGAATTAAAAAAGGTATTGTACAATATTGAAGTTATGCATTTTTGTGTTTGAACAGTCCCCACCAAGTGAAACTCTTAAGAGTCCGGCCTGGGGAAATACAATATGGCTGGTTAAATGTCTAGGTTAAAAAATCCTTATTTCATGCACTGCTACTTTCTGTATTACTTGTAATACTGTGTATCTGTACTTTAAAGTCTTTTACTTTATGATCTTCGGCTTGTATTTTATTAATCACAAGGAAGCGCTGAAGGCACGCAACATTTCAAAGACAAACAACACTAGTTTGTAGGAATAATATGAAATATATTGAAGTAATATTGTTTCTGTATTTCAATAGGGCACAGAACAACTTAAAGATAATAATGTATGCTTTCTGTATGCAGTTTTGTTATATTCCTAGGGAGATGAACCTAAGAAGGTGTCTGATTTTGAGAAGAAACAAAAAGCAGAAATCAAAAAGATTGAAGGAATAAAAGTAAGTAAGCATATAGAGTTATTCCCCCACAACTGGTGTATGTGCTGTCCAGATTTTTATTCCTTAACCACATCCAGTTCAGATTTAGATGCTAGATCCAAATAATTTAATTTGATAAGCAGAGACATGCAATATGCATGTGATCATATCATTTGTTAAAAATAAATAAAAGTTCACTGTAAGACTCAGAAGAAATGAGATTTTTTCTCTGTGCAAATGCTATTTCATATATCGATAGAGTAAAACTTTGGAAGCAATTCAAAGACAATGTCCATCCAAAAATGTGGAAGTTGTTGAAGATTTAAAATGCAAAAATAAACAAATTAAAATCAATAAGGGAATGCTCACACGTGCTTATATACATATACTGGTATATTGATATAAGTGTACATTACATGTTATTTGATTTCAGGAAACTTTGAAGAAATTGAATGATAAGTTGGAGCCAGATGAAGTGGAAGAGTCATATTTCCGCAAGGTGAAGAAGAAAGGGGTTGGAGATGGCGAGGAGAGTGAGATCACAGAAGAAGGTAACATAAACTGAATAGGTCGAGACTAGAGTTACCAGTGAAGTGTGATTTGTGTATTACCTTATTGTTAAGAGTAATGTAAGGAATATCATAGTCAGAGAGTTGTTACTACTAGCTATTGAGCTAAGGGTATTATGGCTTTGTAGATGATGAGGAATACACAGATGAAGAGGATGATGAAGACTTAGAGGAGGATGAGGAAAGGTATTGTTCATATAAAGTTACAAGTGTGTTGGAATTAATTTGTTTCTCATGTTTTTGACTTACTTGATTTACTAGTGTGTTAGATTACTATACTTTTGAAAATTAGATCACTACTTTTGACAATAGATAAGTATACTCTGACAAAAGATAACTACTTTGACAATAGATCACTACTTTTGACAAGTACAAGTAGATAAGTACTCTGACAACAGATAAATACTTTGACAATAGATCACTACTTTTGACAATAGATAAGTATACTCTGACAACAGATAACTACTTTGACAATAGATCAGTACTTTTGACAAGTACAAGTAGGTAAGTACTCTGACAACAGCTAACTACCTTGCAATAGATAACTTTTAACTTTAGGTAAATTCTTTTGAAAATAGATCACTATTTTTGAGTAGATAATAACATTTGACCACTAAATCACTAGTTTTGGCAAATGAGATAATTATCTTTGGCAATAGATAACTACTTTTGACAAGTACTACTTTGGCTATAAATTGCTACTTTTGACAATAGATAAATACTTTTGATGAATAGATGACTATTTTTGACAATAGATCACCAATTTTACAATTGGTCACTAGTTTTGAAAATTGACTGCTTCTCTTTCCTTGTTGTTTGATTTTTAACCTTTCTGATTATTTTTTAGCTTTTCTCTTTCTTAGATTAAGGTTTGAGTTAATCTCTGTTATATAATTTAAAGACTGTTTTCTCATCATTTCTGTGCTTTATACCTGAGTGTGTGAACTAGTAAATTTTTTATCTAACGAAGTGCTGTTGTTTCCTATATAGACGCATGAAAACTGCTATGGCAAAGAAACTCGCCAAGCGGCTGTTGTAAGTAGAACTAGTATTGGAATGTAATGAATTTTTCTTTTTTAAATAATATGTGAGCAAAAATAATTGTAAAAATACCTGATAATATTACTAAGACTGAATAAATGTAAAAATGTATGTATTAAACTTGCCAATATTGATTCCTTGCGTTTGGATTCTTCTGTGGTTGTAAAATTGTAAACTGTCAGTTTGATTTTAAAATAACAGGAACAGTGCACATGTATCAATGAATAAACATTAAACACTTATTAAATATTGATGTATTGTTGTATGGGTGAAATGATTTCAATTTCAGCATCTGAGAGTTAGTGAATTGTTAACAAAGGATGTACACAGTTCATGTAGTCAAATAATGGTTAGTGAGTTCTCTGTATAATGCTTTCAATCTGAATATTGTTGAATTTTTTAGTGAAGAAGATGATGACGAATATGACTCTGAAGAAGAAGATGATGAAGAAGATGAAGAAGGGGAGGATGATGAAGATGAAGAGCTTGAAGGTGGAGATACAACAGCTGAATATACAGTATGCTTTACTCCAATCATTCCTACTACTGTTGCCTTGACTTTAAGAGAACTGTACTTGTAGATTGAATATTATTCTTGATAAATAAGTATCATTATAATTATGCTTTACATTCTGTATTTTTCTTCACCCTATAAAACTGAGTGTTACTAGACTAGATAAAATAGACAAAAGATAAGTTCTATTGTTTTTATGAGTGAGTTATATGAGACTGAGAGTTATATTCTTATTTTGAATAATAACTGAATCCAGATTCAGCAGTATGAGGCCCTTGATGACTTTGAGGCTGAAGAAGATGATGATCTTTCATTTAAGAAAGGAGAGACACTTACAGTTGTAGAACTCAGGTAGCCTTCCATCTTCTAATACATTGCTAGCATGCTGGAACAATTTTCGGTTTTTATATCACCACCAGAGGCGGTCTCCAATTTTTGTGGATGGTGATTGGTGTTTGGTTGTCAGCATCTGTAACAAATGGCAGGTGGTGACATCTTGGATGTTTATGCCTTGTATTAGTCTGAAATAGCCTTGTATTAGTCTGAATAAAAATCACAAATTCAAAGGGCAAAAATAAATGAGGAAAATTATTAGAAAATAATGATACAAGGACAATTTCTCCCTACACAGATTTCCCACCTAGTGTTGCTCTCTTTGGATTAAATATATCACCAGTGGTATTTTTAAATAATACTTTTACCTAGCAATTTTTCAGCATGCGATTTAGTTTGGAATATTTCAAATAGTTCATAATTTTCAATAAAAATGGCATATGGACATGATTTCGAGATGGATTTTGAAACATTCAAGTCAGATGAATCAATGACTACACTATTAATTACTGTTGAATCAAAGTAAAAGTTGTTTTGTTAGAATTATTCATTGACCTTGCCTTGCATGTGTTTCAGGGAAGATGGATGGCTGGTGGCTGAGAACAGTAAAGGGAAACAGGGTATGGTACCAATCACATTCCTCAAAGAGATTAATCCACTTAGGGATGTGCAAAGTCCAGAATCAGGTGAGAGAATTAACCATATTCTTTAATTTTTTTCATTAGGGATGCTGTCCAATATCAAAAGCTCTGGATAAACACAGTTAGTTGGTTTTCCATCCCCCATATATTACGAAATGAAAATGTTGATTTATCATCTATTTGGATTTCGTTTGAAAGTCAACATTTCCAATAATCAAATCATCATTTACCCCATTCTCCTTAGTGAAAATCCCCTCATTCTTTAACTTTTGAATATTGGATGTGATCCCGTACTTGCTACAAGAATGTAAACTGAAAAAGCCTGATCAATACACCTTTGTATAACTTACCAAGACTCCAAATTATTTGTAACAAGTACTCAAATAATTTGCATCTTTAACTGTTTAACTGCTTCTGTAAAATATTTTCATAAAGTAAGCGGTACATTGTGTGTCATATTAAACTTTGAACTTATTTTTTAGCAAGTTTGACTGTGGCTTGTAAAGTGTTGTTCTACAAACATTATAACGATTATGTTTTGTTTTTTTGCAGGATTTTAGCTGTGGTTCAAATTGTGATATTTTGTAGTGAATTCTTAATTGATAGCACATGTTCATTATTAATCTTATATCTTCAATTTTCCTGTAGATGAAGAAGAGACTGAGTTGAAAGGATCACAAAGGTAATTTGAAGACAATTCCAACATATGCAACATAGCTAACATTGATTCAAATAATTGATTGAATTTTCTTCAATGATTGAACAGAAAAAGTTGAATTGCAATAAGTGAGAAATACATAAATTTATACATACTCTGAGGTAGTGTAAAAACATGAATTATGTTTCTAGTAATCAAGGAACGCAAAACACTTAATCATGTCAAATGATTCTCTTACAGTACCCGTAAAAAAGCCATAAGTATAAAAGAGGTATATATCAAAAACACTAACCAATCTTTGAATTACATTAACCCACAATCAACTACAACTGTTTGTGGCTATATGATTTTATGTGGCAACTTAGTGTGAATATTTCTGTGTTTAAAAACTAACATATTTGGCCTGTTGTTTGTAGTGGCAAGTTCCTGTGGAAGAAAGTCAAAGCTGCAGTGAAGGAGGTATTAAAAATTACAGCAATACCTGTATATCTGAACAACTCTCTAATTGGAACACCTCTTAATGGGAAAACTAACACTATTTTTGGTCCAATTTATTAATCTCTCACTGACTTTCATGTTGAAAAAACTTGAAATGTAAACAACAAACACAAACAATAACCGAGTCTTTTAGCTTAGTGTATTTGACATCTTTGATATAACAAGCCTTTGGCTCAGAAAGTGTGATCTTGTTAGTTTGTCTAACAAATGTTTATTTGAAATCTCCTTTGTTTTTTTAAAGAATTAAGTGGGGAAATTCTGTCGCACAGTTGTGTGCTGTAGTCACTTGTTTGGAAGATATATAAAATTAATGCATTTGTAATGAGAAGGGCTTTTTATATATTACTTCTGCTACTTACCTAATAATAATTGTTATTATGGTAAAACATTCAATTGTTCTGTACATGTGTTTAATTTTAAGTGGGGGGGACTTTTGGATCTGTTTACCGAATACAATAGAATTTACATAATTTATGTATGTAAAACAACAGTTACACTCTGGTATATAAATCTATATGGACAAGAGGCAGAAAAATCAGCACCCAAATAGCTATAGAGCAACCCCTTACTGTTTTATTGATCATAAGTTTTTCTTATTTCTAGACTAGTGCAACAGATGTTCTCCAGGCTATGGGGGCAGTCCCCCCAGGCTTCAGACAGACCACCCTTGGGAAACTATATAGAGGTGACCAGTTGTGTTCATCTATGCATGATTTACTCCACTCTTCTGTTCTGTATTTCTACATACCTGTAAAGCCAATTCTCCATAATAGTGTACACATAATATTAGGTGCTGTGTACTGATGCAGTAGATGTTCAGTATTTACATTGTGTTCATTTGTAAAATCATAATGGCTTTATGGAGATGTAGTAGTCTTGCATTATGCCTCTGGAAAAATGATAACATTGGACAAATACAAAACAACATAGAAATCTGTTTCTAAAAAATATAGATTGTAATTCTGAATTTCAAGTGTCTTTCGCTATAGCCATTGTAAAAGATCTTAAAAGATGATTTAATATCCTGAATACTAATTCATAATATTTACAAGAAATAGTCTCCAGAACACTGAACTTTAAAACTAATATAACATATTCATGGGTAAAATACAGGATCTAATGATGCAAGACTATTTGCTTTAAGTTTGCTTCAAACTTTACTAATCTTATAACACTGCTCAATTCCAAACTCAGGACTGCTTAGCTTGACCAGTCAGCCATGCCATCTCCATCTCTGTTCTCTTTCTATTGTATGATACAATGATTTGAGGTGGCATGCAGTTTGGAAGAAATGGAATTGATCTAATACTTAGTTAGTAGAGCTAAAAGAAAATTTAACCTCTCAAAGCGCCTATTAATTGAACATCTAAACACAAATGACCCTAAAGAATTTTGGAAAGAAATTGAAAATTTAGGCCCATCAAAAAAGTGTAAAACTAGTATTCCAAATGAGGTGATTGATAAAGATGGAAAAATTTTATCAGGGGAAAAGGATGTTCTAAATGTATGGCGTGATCAGTTTGAATCATTATATAAGAAATCTGAAAACACTGAGTTTGACGATGAATTTTATCAAGACCTTCTTAATCTGAAAAACGACATGGAAGATAATAGGTTTTTTGATGCTGATAATCAAGGTCCTGACAATCAGGAAGAACTGAACAAACTAAATGAGACAATCACAATGGATGAAGTAGGGACTGTAATCAAGAATATAAAGAAAGGTAAAGCCATAGGAATTGATTACTTACCCGCTGAAGTATTCCAAAATGATGCATCTTTAACGCTACTTATAGCACTCTTCAATAAAATATTTACAACTGGCCTTTACCCAGAACAGTGGAAAAAGGCCATTATAAAACCAATACCTAAGAGTCGTATAAAGGACCCACGAATTCCACTTAACTATAGAGGCATTAGTCTCCTATGTACAATGGCTAAGCTCTATAGTTCTGTTATAAATACTTGACTTTCCCAGTTTGCTGAAACCAAGATTGTTGACGAACAAAATGGATTTAGGAAATTAAGATCTTGTGTGGACCATCTATTTGTTATCACAACTATCATAAGAAATAGAAAGGCAAAGGGCCAATCTTCTTTTATATGCTACATCGACCTGGAAAAATGTTTCGATAAAATTAATAGAGATTGTTTACTTCTAAAGCTTAGAAAACTTGGTATAAATGGGAAAATGTATCAGACACTGAGTAGCATGTACGCACACACACAGAGTACAGTTAACGTCAATAATAAACTAACTGACTGGTTCACTACAGAAACAGGATGCCGCCAGGGGGACAATATTTCCACAACAGCATTTTCTATATTCATAAACGATTTGGCCCAAGAATTAAAATCAGCTGGGTTGGGTATTAAGTTTGGTGATGATATAATTTCATGTTTGTTATTTGCCGATGACATTGCTATATTGTCTGAAAATGAGAAGAACTTGCAAGAATTGTTAAATCTAGCTTATAAGTGGTGCCATAAATGGAGAGTTAATGTTAATATTGATAAATCCAATATAGTGCATTATCGTAAAAATAGTACTCCCAGATCAGATTTCAAATTTACATTTGGAACAAAGCATTTAGAAACCGCCACGCAATATAAGTATCTTGGATGTATATTAGATGAAACACTTAACTTCACTACAACTGCTGAAAATCCAAGCGCAGCAGCAGGCCGAGCTTTGGGGGGCCTCATCACAAAATTTAGGAAACACAATGGACTTTTCTATACAGCATACACAAGACTTTATAACACATGTATACTCCCAATTTTGAATTATGAGTCCGGCGTTTGGGGAAACAAAACTTATCAATGTACTGACAATATCCAACACAGGGCAATGAGGGCATTTCTAGGTGTGCATAGATTTGCATCTATCCCAGCAATGTACGGTGATTTGACATGGATGACACCATTAGACACTAGAAAATTAGATATTATACGTCTTTGGAACAGAATTACATTCATGAATAATAATCGTATCACTAAAAGAGTGTTCATGGAAGATTATCAAAATGGGAAAGCAAGTTGGTGCAGCGACTTTAAAAAACTGTGCATTGATTTAAATTTTGAAGAGCACTACCGTGATCAAACATATATTGACTTACGTGTGGCACGAACCAGACTAATGAAGAAACAAAAAGAAAAATGGCATCAGGAAATTCTTGAACAACGTAAATTACGTACATATGTTACTTTTAAAACAGACTTTAAACCAGATCAATTCATTTTATGTGACTTGCCAAGAGGCACTAGATCACTGATTTCACAGTTTCGGTATGGAATTCTACCTTTGCATATTGAAACTGGCAGATTTGTAAATACCAATGTAAATGAGCGTTTTTGTAACATTTGTAAGTCGGGTGAAATCGAAGATGAAAAGCATTTTATTTTTGATTGTAGTGCATATAAGAAAAAAAGAAATGAGTTCTTTGAAAAATTGGAAATAGAGAGTCTGACTTTAAGTGACATTTTTAAAAGTAAAAGATACACTAAGATGTTTGGTCAGTATTTAATTGACATAATGCAGATCAGGAAAGACTTTATTTTTAAACAATAACTAGTTATTTTAAAATGTTCAAATGTGTCTCATAAGCCCAGATAGGGCTGGTTGTATGATATGATACAAGTGACACTTTAATAAAATAAATAAATAAATAAATAAATAAATACTTAGAATTGCCTTTATTGAGGGGTTGTGTCAAACATCAGTTTGTAACTTTTACATAAAAGTAATTTTTTTTATTACTTTTAGAGAAGGGTAAAATTGCACGTTGACCAGCAAGTGGTGGAAGTTCAAATAAAAAATGAATTTAACTTCTGGAAGTTTCAACAATTAGGAGGAGGGAGGGGGGTCTAATCCTTCAATAAAATACTTTGGAGAAACAATGTTGACATTTTGACAAGACCCCTGGGCCTTTTACTTCTAACATTTTAATATTGTATTATATTGTGTTAAATTGTACATTTTTTGTGTTATGTTTTATATGTTCTTATTTCAGCTAACACTGTCTTTTACTAATCTGAGGCTTTTGCTTTGTATCTGCTTTTCTTATTTCATATGCACATGCACTGTTCCACAACTGGATGACTCTAACTGCAGTTAGCGTCATTCAAGGTGGTTTTCGAAATTCTTTCGTTTTCAACAAACTTCCGATTTCAGCTAAACAACCACAGATAAATGCTCTAACAACCGCGATATGGGTGGATTTTAAAGAAAACAGCTTCACTTAGAAAGACTCTCACTGAAGCTGTCATCATCAACTTCAGTTAGAGTCAATCTAAGTGAAGCCTGTTTCTAATAAATTCTCTAACATTGCGGAAGTTTGGGCATTTAATTGTGTTTTTTTACAATCATAGTTTTATTATTAGTTTGCATGGCGAAACTTTTGGATCAAGATTCAGCTTAGTTTAGCTGAAATCTGAGGTTTGTCAAAAACTAAATAATTTCAGCAACCATCTTGGATGACGCTAACTGCAGCGAGAGTCATCCAGTTGCATCCAGTTGTGGAACATTGACATGGCAGACTTTATAAATAGTTTCATACTGTTTAATATATATTTTTAGAAATAGTGCAATAGGTATATTAGTGGCTTATCAAATCTGGTTGTTGTGTAAAGCTGGTATTATTTTATTGAATATGCTTATTTACAGGGTGATTCAAAAATTATCTTTTGGAATATTTTCATAAAATTACATGTAAAAGCACCACATGGTATTGTTGGTGACTGTACAAAAATGTTAATTTCTCTAAAACTGTTATTAGAATGCACAATACAAGTACATGTACTAAAGGTAGCATTCAAATACAAATAAAATAATTCAAGTAATTGTCAAATCAGGTTATTGTTACTCTAATTTTTAGTCTTGATCATATTTGTGTAATATTTTAATATGCCTGTTTTCCAGAGTCGAAGTACACCATGCAGAACTACCTAGTTCCTAAACTTAGCCATTCCTGTGTCAGCTTTAAAGATCTCTTCTATGATGCCCACAATATGAGAGTAAGTTAGGAAGTAAATTACAGTATTTTACATGGCATTTTAATTTTGCTAATTGGTCTTATCATTATTATCATTGTCAGTTTTCATCTGCTTGTGGATGTTTTTCGGTAGGTGGCATCAAATTCTTACAACTTCCAATAACTTTCCAGGTGGTGACAATTTATCATGTTAATGCCTTGTCTATTCATTGGCTTAAAATCACTTGAAAGAGAAGAGATCGAATTCAAATAAGCGAGTAAACTGTTGAAATAGTTTAGAACTTACAGTGAATTTGTAGCAATCATCATAACTCCAGGTAGCAATTTATACATTTACACTTTATTGCAAAAGTCAGAAGAAAGTAAATGAAGTGCATTTCATCTCCCATCTACTGCATGATGTAATGCACAGTTGGCCTTGCAGCATTTATGGGGCATTCCCATACAATCATGTTTAATGTGAATTGTAATTTACAGATCAGAGGTAGAAACCCAAGAGTCCAGAAAGTGCTGACCCTGGTAAACTGTAGGCAGATCCCTCTTCCTGGTGCAGGTACTTATAACATAAAGTATTACATATGATCAAATGTAAAGTACATTTAGATATTGTATATTTTTGTGAGATTTTATTATGGTTAGAGTAGGGGGTCTCAAATGTAAGTATCAACAATGAAGTATTTCACCATTCATTTATTTCTGTTAACAATGATTTAAATCTAGGATGATGAAAATACCTGTACCTATATATTTAAGGTGTTGACATTGTTGGAAGACATGTCCGGCTCTGTCTCTTTGATGGGCAAACAGTACTCAGCAACATACACACAATCAAGTCTATTGGAGTGGATAAAGAACAGAAACAATGGAATTTCAATGCAAAGGTACAGTAATTGTTGGAACAAATAAAAATTGAAAGTACCTTTAAATAAGGGTTATGTACTGTCAAAGCAAATAAATTCAAAATATTCTTAGGTTTTAGAAAACCAATGAATTTTTTATGAATCTTCTTCTAACAGTTGCAATCTAACTATATAGTGTTATTCTCCAATATTCTCCTTTATTCAAATCATTTATTGGTAGCACTTTTTCAGGTAGTAACATTTCATCATGTTTATACCTTCTTTTTTGTATATTGTAGTTGACAGACAATATGAAGAGTCTAGAGTATGCAGAGATGTTTGCCAGAACCAGTAGCACTGAGAGCAATATAGGAATACTTATGGAACTTTGCATTTCTTATATGAGAAAGGTAAGTATTAAGTGGAATTAGTTTAATTAATCAGTGTTTGAAAAATCGAGCCTCTACTTTCCCAGAAATATATTTCACCAATGAGAAAATTATTAAAAACCACTCTGTCCTATGAAGTTGAGACACAAATTGTGACACAAATGTTCGCAAAACAAGGTATTTTTAGTGGGTTAGACACTGTCGAAGTGTCCCTTTTCTGAGTCCAAAATGGGTCATTAGTTATGTGCAATTATAATTGGAGTCAATGTGGGTTTATGGACAGTCAACTTTTCCACTAATTGTTATTACTGAGTGCCTAGCCATGACTCAAAGAGTTTTGATATTTTTCAGAATACTAATGAACATAGTGACATGAGCTGTGGTTGGGTACATTTACCATTCTTTGATGAACATGGTGCTCCTCTACAAAACAAGTAAGAATGTTTCAATGAAACTCATAATTATATCATTAGTATTATACATGAGAATCAGATAATTAGACACTGCATTTATAAAATGAGTAGTAAAATGAGAAGGTTGTTCTGCAATACCATACAAATTACGAAACTACAATTATTCAATTTAATTTCATTGAATGTTTTCCTTGTTGAGCTTTTATATTTGCAGATACACCAGTACAGACAAAAGGATTGAAATGATTCCCTTTATATACTTTACATTTTTGTTTCAGAAATTATGACTTGGTGGTTAATGGTGGCACGCCATATGAGAAAGGTGTTGATCTTGACCCAGCTATTAGTAGAAAAGGTTAGTTCATATTTTGGATCTATTTAAAATACATGTAGTTACCTTGTGGCTCTACTGAAAAGAAATTAAGAGCAGCCGCCTCAAAATTTTGTGTCCAAATTAGATAATCTGGCTTCTGCACAATCACATTCTCTCAAAACCCTCCATTTCCTGTACATGTACATACAGAAAACACAATTTTACCTTGCTTTTATTACTTTGAATTAATAAGTTATATAAGACCCTGTCTTTCATAGATAAGTAGCATCAGGTAGTTTATAAGCATTGATCATTTTTAATTTCAAAGGGGATTCATGAGTGGTCTTATTTTTGAGTTGACGATTCTACAGGGTGAGCCAACAACAACTGCCTGAAATACTAAGTGACACACTCGTAGTTTTGTCTTTATACTTTCTGACTGTGTAATCATCACAGATTTGCACTTTTGATTTTGGAGAAACAAATAAAGTTTTTCTGACTCTTTATACATCTGCAAGGGGAAAAAGTGGGTCTTCAAAAAAGCCACATATTTTTTACTTTGCAAATTTTTGGCCCAAACTGCATATGTACAGTAGTAATGGCTTCTACTTGAACACAATGCAATTTATTAAATATGACAGCTACTAGGTTGTTCAATACGTTTTTAGAAAAATCTCTTGATAGAAAAATGATATGACTTAATATCACTCATGTATCAACCTTTTTATGTCACCACCAAAAAGTGGTGACATATTGTCATGGTCTCCATTTTTTTTTGATGGCGGTTGGCAATCGGCGTCTGTAACAAATTCTTACAACTTCCAATAACTTACTTTTCAAGGTCAAGAAAAGGTCAAAAAGGTCTTTTTTCACCTTGCTTCAAATTTACCAATTTTTTTTTCAAAATTATCTACAAGTTATCAGAAGTTCAAATCGGATTTGAGATTTGACCTTCAATGACAAATTCTTACAACTTCCAATAACTTAACAAAATTCTGTTTAGACTGACTTCAATTTTTCAAAATCATCTACATGTTTTCAGAAGTTCAAATCTGACTTTATATTTAAGATTTGACCTTCAATGACCTTTTCAAGGTCAAAAAGGTCTTTTTTCAACTTGCTTCAAATTGACCATTTTTTTCATTCTCAAGGTCAAAAAAGATTTGACCTTCAATGACATTCTCAGGGTCAAAAAGGTATTTTTTCAACTTGCTTCAAATTGACCTATTTATTTTTCAAAATCATCTACAAGTTCTTAGAATTTCAAATCTGACTTAAGATTCAACTCATAATATTGTGAGCAACTAGGTGGCAACATTTTGTCATGTTAATGCCTTGTGTTATTAGTACTTTAATATTTATGTTTATTATTTATTTGTATTTAAACTTTAAAGCTTTTAACCTTTCCTAAATGAAAATTTAGTAAAACAATTTCACACTTTCTGTGATAAACATAGCAATTTTAGAATCGTATAGCTAAGAACCCATCACAAACTTTATAATAATTTATAAGACCTATACACATGTACTAATAATATAGCAGAATAGACCAATCTAATAAAGCATAATATAATATACAGTATTGGTTATGATGTCATTCTTACAGTTTCAAGGCAGACATGGGATTATTTACTGCCTTCAAAGTATGACATCACATATTGATAGCCAATATTTTACATTGGTTCACCAAAAGAGTCAGGATTTATTGGAATGGTCTATTGCATGCCTGTTTGAACCATATATTGCCAATATGCTAACACACTTGTGCATTTTGTTTTTTTACAGCAGGTAAGTTTGCTTGGCATGTACTCACTGTTATGTAACATGTACTAACTATAGTCATACACATGCATATATGTAATGCTCAATATTAGGCACATCATATATTATAGACATACTCATATAGATACTTATGCATATATCTCAGATCATTCTGCTATATCAAGCTTTGTGGGTGTTTAGTATGAAACAAAATTGCAAAATGAGATATAGAGGTTTTGGAGAGAATTGTTATAGATGGAATACTGTGTTTCAATTAGGCGACTCTTAGTTTTGTATAGCACTTTAGCATGTAAAAGTGAAAGACCAGAGAGACATGGAAATGTGTAAAACTGAAGAATGTCATTAAACTGATTGCAGGGGATTAAAGATGCAGATCCACCTTAAAACATATTTTCTATGATTGGTCAATATGACTTATCAATGGTGTAAAAACTACACTGGGATGCAGGTCATACATTATTACTTGTCACTTGTATATGGAAAATCTCTAAATTGTTCAGATCATTTTTTCACTATTATATTTTGCTTCTTTACTTCTTCACATCATTTTCACAAATTGGCTAAAAGGAAAACAATTAATTTGTCACATTCACATGTCACATGTATATAAACAGTAATACTTTACATTGACTCAGAAATGAAGGTTACTCATTACTAAAGAACTTCCTGGAGAAAATGTAGTATGAGGTGGGACTGCATCTTTAAGTACACTACAATAGATTTACAAAAATAAAATCTAGAATTAGAGACTTTAGATACATACCTGTTTATAGCAATTTAACATTTCCTCATAGCTATAGAGGCAAATGACTGCATAATTCCTCTATGTCGGTCAAAGAGAAACAGAGGTACATGTATGCTTTACCTAAATAACTGACTTCCTGGGTAAAGGAGAAAAATTGCCTTTGTGCTTTAGAAATTTCCAAAATGCCATCCTTTTAGAAGAAAGTATCCATTTGTTTCATACTATATATATACAGACAGATGTTCCTTCTGACATCCAAATAAAAGTCTGTGACTTCAAGATATGTCCCCATGCCAATAATTATTTGTCTTGAAATCTTGACCTAAAGACCTGTCCATATGCCAATCATCATACATAACATGCACTAAACATTTCATTGAAAATTGTATGCTTTAATTCCAATGGATTTCCTAGATTTGTAATGCTTATACTAGACTAGAGACATTTATGCTTGTTCATTCTAGTCAAGTGCTTCGAAGTAAAACAAAGTTCTATGGATAGTTATAATAGGAACCACTTTGATGATCTGAATCCAAAATCATTTTATATTTGGTTGGCCTCCTATCTTAAATTCTCTGTAATATCAATGATTTTGGACCAGTGTGCTACCAATTTAGAGATCGCTTAGAACCCAAAGTTGTTTATGAATATATCTCATTATCAGTTGGTTGACATTTTGGAAATGACTATGAGCTCAAAGGCTGTTTTAGAATTACCCCATGATGTTCATGTTTCTGTTCATGTTCATGTTCATGTTCAATGCATTGGTAATCTAAGGTAGACCTAGTGCTATACCTACCTATATAAGACATGCATATGCAGTCTACATGTAAAAGCTGAAACTTTCTCAACATATGAATTCTTAAGTTCATTCTTTTATTATGACGTCAATAGTCTAGTACTAAACCTATCCTACCTTAGATTAACTTGCATAAGTTATTCTCTTGCTAATGCATTGGTAATTGCATGATACTGCCTAGAGAATCTTATATAATATAATAGATAAATGAATAATCATATGATGCAACATAAGTAAAGCATTTCAATTCAAGCCATGTAAAAGGAATACTACATAATGAATACTCCATATCATGGAGTTTATAAATTCATGGAACTAATAGTTGGTTTGGGGCTAATAAGCATTGTGGGCTCATTTGGCAAGATGATTTTCAAATCAAGATAAAATGATTTATCCTTTGATATTCTCAACCATAGTTTAGGGTAAGCATGATCCTATTGGCTGGTCATGTTCTTGAATTGGAAAATCATTGTGAGGGCCAGTGCTAGTCAATCTAAAGGCACCATGAATGCCTAGGACTTGTCATAGTATAGGCAACATATAGGGCTAGGGCTAGTCACTGAATAGGCATCCTGAGGGCCAGGGCTAGTAATTGTGGTGGCAACATAGGCTAGTCATGGAATGCACACCAAGAGGGGCTAGGGTTAGTCATTGTGTAAGTGCCATGAGGGCCAAGCCTAGCTACTGCAAAGGCAACATGAGAGGCCATGGCTTGTCATTTTGTAGGTACCATGAAAGACCTATTTAAATGGACATCACAATTGTTAAGCTTGCATGGGTATTGCTTACATGCATGTTTCATTGAACAGTATTATAATCCAGAGAGTCCGATTACCTACTATAGAATTAGATTGTATGCATTGTGTTGTTATGCATGTTTTGAAATAATAAGCATAAATGAGCAGCAAACATTTTAGAAAATAGATAAATTAACATGTCAAACCTCCAAAGCTGTGCCATTTTGTTGCTAATGCCTCAGTCACGTTTGATCTACGGCAATGGTATGGCAGCTGTAGCTTCCAAAATCGAGAGAAATATGCAGCTTAAAATATAGGGCCTAGGGGTAAGCAGTATGATGTAGATTTTTGAACACGATTTTGTGAAGATACAACCACCATACAGCCGGCATAGATCACATGTGACTGAGACTTTAAATGAATCTATTTTTGAAGAGTTCTATCAAAGTGACTTTGTAAGCACGCCAATCGCGAACTCCTGTAGCATAATATTTTAACCCATTCAATACTTGACATGTTGATTTGACGAGCAGCGTAAAAGTGATAAATCAATTCAGGTGTGACTGCTTTGGAAACACAATTAGTTTGCAAATGAATGAAAATATCTCAGTAAAGACACTGAACCCTGTGGCTCATTTTACTCTATCCCATCTTCAGTATATAATTTGTTATTAGTGACAAAATACAATGCACCGCAATAAGCATATATATACATGTATAGACAATTGCACATGATGATAATGCACAAAAAGCATGATTGCTATACTAATATAACATTTGAATTGTAAAAATACTGTATTCTCATTATTTCATGAGTTTTGAATTATAATGTTATTTGTAGCAAGCACTGGTAGGTTTAAACAAATGTTGATGGGAAATAAACAACCAAAAATGACAATAAAGGTGGCAGCACCAACCAAGGAACAGAAAGACATGCTTGAGTAAGTGCATTAGTAATTATGTAATGATAAAAGTGATATCATAAGAAAAATTAAGAATACCATCCTTTCAAGACTTTATAAATGGAAGTACACTTACAATATCTGCATGTTCTAAATGAATTGAAATATGTAGCAATGAATTTACCATAGGTACTAGATCAGCTGAGTCTGATAGATACCACTAGTGGTCCTGATCATCACTGCCATTTTTCTGTCAATCTAGTCCCTATGGAACTAAAAAAATAAAAATATTGAGGTGGACATATTTGAGTTTTGGGTGTCCATCTATCTATTTGTTGTATCTGTTGTCTTTTAGTGTGTGTCCTCATGATCATGTTATTATATTTCAGCACCTTACCTGATGTACTTGTGGGGAATATGGCATTAGCTCAGTTCACATCATTCTACAGGCAGATCCTAGCAGATTGTCTTATTAGGGATAGTACAGATCCACAAGCTGCAGGTAAGCACAATGATTTAATCACCTATCTGAAGTGTGGCTTTATTATACCTTATTGAAAGGAATTTAAGAGTAGATATTGTAACATAGAGGATGACGGTAATACCAGTTCAGTATGGAATTGAGCATTTCATGAATAGTAAGGCATTCACTACTTCAGGCTGTAGCCTTATTAGTACTGGGAGTTTGGAGGAGGGTTTTTGTTAAAATCTATTTGACTTCAGATTGAAAGTACCCCTCACACATCAATTGCAAAGTGCCTCTATTTTGTTTTAGATCGCCTCCACAACCCTCTATTGGCCACCTTCCCTCAGGTGATAGAGCAACCAGACATCATGGATGCTCTCAGAGTAAGTAGAGATAAGATTATGTCAGGTTTGATCTGTTGCTGGGCTTGTTTTCATTTAGTTATAGATGTTTTGAAAGAAGATTTTTTGAAATAGTACTATTTTCCAAAGATTATTTTTCCATTTGAAATTTTGTGGTGTTATGTTACTGTATTGCCCCTATGACTTATAACCCTTTTAAAATATAATATTTGTATCAATTCAAAATATTTGTTACAGACTATGTGGCTTGAGAAGCTGAAGTCTACAAAGCGTGCAGAAAGGGTAAGGCCATTATTGCAGAGTTTTTGATTATACAATATACATTTCATACTTTCAATTCAATGAATAAGTGTCAAAACTGGATATATTAAATGGCTGTTTGTGTGAATCAATATTGAAATCAGACTTCCAAACATATTAAATGTAGTTATTAGTCAGTAAAATACTTGATATTTACATTGTACTTTTACATATATTTTATGCCTCATTGAAATCCTGCTTTCTCCATTCTAATTTATCCTCTGCTTATTCTTGAAATTTTGCAATATTGTTTAGACATGTATTTTGCCATATATGTTGCAAGATAATTATGTATTGCTAATGTCATTGACACTCTGAGGCATGTGCATTTTCATTGCTTGCATTGTATTTTGCACAACCAGCATTGTGATTTATGTATTATATGAAGTACCTGTACAGGATGTGTGCATCATCATTTTACTACACAATAATATGGCATGATTTTGTATTGAATGGTCATCATCTGAATTCAGAGGGCTCCAGACATCAACAGCTTCATTCCTCCCTTCATTCCTTTGATCAATGTTTCATTTTAGTTTGTGTTCATACAAATCTTGGGTATATTGGTATTTCATGGGCCATTTCATTTGTTATGGGAATAAATCAACTGCTGATTATGTCACCTGTGACCACCAGAAGGGGTGACATATTGTTAATAGTCTCCCAACTTTTTTTGTGAATGGTGTTCGGCAGTTGGTGTTTGGTGTCTGTAACAGCATCTGTAACAAATGGCGGTCAGCATCTGTAACAAATGGTGGGTGGTGACATTGGGCATGTTAATGCCTTGTTATAATTTAAATACAGCAGCAATATTTTTTGAGGTTCAGTTCTCAGCACTCTCTTATGTTACATTAACTTTATAGAACTGTTTCCTTTATTTTTTATTTACCGTATATAGATTTGCTTTATTTGTTGAACAATTGCTTTTTTCTATATAGGGCACCAGAAGGGATTCCAGTTCATCAAGAGTTAGTATGAGTTGTGCACGTTTTCTGTTGCACTGTGTTCACCTTTGCATGCAAACATTTGTACACTATTATGTATATATCGATATTAATTGGACTCTTAGTGCATGCCTTGATTTAATAATCAGTTAGCTAAGAAATGATTTTGACATTTGCCTTGTTAGTCAACCAGATGAATTTTCCATGGAAGAATGCAGTGCCTTTTACATGGATGTTGCATTAAGACTTCACTTGGAATTATTTTATTTCATGATTATTGTTGTTGCAATAACAACATTTACACCACATTGTCTTAATTATTGCATTTTGTCATTTTTCTCTTACTAACATTTTTATCCCACCGAACAAAGTTTGTAGGGATATAGCTACACTGTATAGAGAAGTCAATTATCCCTCTGTACATCCATCCATATATCTGTCCTGATAACTCAAACACCAGTTATCAGGTTTGGTCCAAAATTTAAATTTAATTTGATATGTTCAAAATTATGATTGATTTGATAAAATATGTTTTGTTCAGTGGGATTTACTACACCCAGGTGTTGCTTTTTTATAGTTTTGAAATATAAAAAGCAGAATCAGGTTTAATAAACAACCTTTCAACAATGTTTAAATTTTAGAATGTTTTTGGTTCATGTCATTCCTGCTTTTTGCCAGTATTTATTGCATAGATTAATAGATTACAATTCCTTCTCATATATATTATTTAAATTTAAGTTATACTTTATTCCAGGCAAGCTAAAGATTTTAAAATTTCGGTGTTTATATATTTTAAATATATTTGATAGAGAATTCATATTAACCAAATTGTTTTGCCATTTCGCAAACTTATATCTCTGATTATTATGCCTTTAAATATTCCATGTTCAATTTTTTGCTTCATTTGATTTATTTTTGATGTCAATCGAATCAAATACAGTAAATTGACTGAATTCAAATATTCAAAACAATTGGAATCAATTGTATATTGATAGATCAGCCTGACAGAACACAATATGTTTATTCATTGAGAGAAAGATTGTGAGGGTTCACATACTACTTCATATATATTACTGTATATTACGTTTAGGAAATTCTCTTGGATAAACTTTTTTCTTGTACCCTACATGAAAATTCTACCTCTTTCATAGGATAATATCTTTATGTCTCCCTAAATTCCTTTAATTTCTTACTTGACCTGTTATATAAATGAGTAATTGCTATCCATAAATTGATCACTGACAGTCCATATATTATAGTTATAAGTAACCAGTCATTGGTGTATGGTTTTGCTTCAATTTGATATCATAGTACCCCACACATAATTTTGTCGCCAACTTCAATTTATGATTTCAGTGCTTTCCTACATACATATCTTCATGAAATTTAGCATACTTAAACTTGAACATATTTCCAACACTCAAATTTTTTTATTTAACATAAAACTTATTATTTATTTTTTAACAACATTTTCAAAATGCAGTATCATTTTGCAAAATTGCCTCAAATTAGGCTATTTTAGCATTTTTAACTGTATTCTTAAATGTTTTAGTTTTGCATGTTGTATATTACATTAGCGAAGTAAATGTACTTTTACTACTGTTTAGCTGAACATGGCTATATTTGAAGTTATTCTATAATGAAAATTCCAGTTTGTATTTTGCAAATTCAGTTCATATTAGCTTTAAACTCTAATAAATCCGTCCACGGGTTCAACTCTTAATTGCGACGTGCTGGCCATGAGAATATTTGGCGATTGGCAATGCCAGCCCTGGACCTTCGAGCCTTTACATTCTTTGCCACAGAGCTTTTTGCAACACGATTCAGAAAATCCCTTCCAGTTGCTCTTTTATTAAAAAACTCGTGAAACATTTCAGGTTTATCCTTCATATCATCCAGGGCATCATTCACTACCATAGCACACTCATCAAACGACCGTGGCCCAACAATTGCATGGCTGTACTCATCGTTGGGGTCACCTGGCGGTCGCCAACGTACTACTTTTTGCTGGATACAATTGTTAAACAATTCGGAAGGGTTGAGAAGATGGCCTTTAGGGGGGAGCATTACCACGTTTATCCCTGCTTCTTCCAATTTTGCTTTAATTTGTGGGTTATAGTGCTGTTTACATGGGTTCTGTGCTCTTCCAGATCGTCCAAGCCTGTCCCATACCAAAAAAGCCCCTCTTGGTAGAAGTCGATGCAGCCCAGGACCCCAAAGATTTCTGTTCCTGGACTCTGAGGCAATAGCAAATGTTCGAACAACAGAGTCATCAGCATTCTTTTTTGTCAGGGACACCTTAACAGCTTTGGATCTTGATATCACTGCAGAACATGTGTAGCGGGTGGGTCTGTATGCCGAGCGAGCATAGAGCTTGGTGCCCTTGCGCGTACGGCCTTTCGAGGGGAGCTTGTTTTCGAAGATTGGAAATTCGTCCTGATAGTAAATATCGTCTAATGTTAATTTGTGATTTTTCAATGCGGTATTTAACCCTTCGATAAATCCAAGGTGCATGTCATATATTTGACTGAGATTACTGTCCTCACATGATTTGTCTGGAGAAACAAATACAAACTCCCCTCCATTACGCCTGTATAACACACGTTTAATTGTCTCATTGCTGATGACAACACCTGTTTCAAGGGAAAATTTCTCATTAATCTCCGTTATCCGTGCGAATGGCTCATGATCTGCGATGTCAAATAAGACATCTTCAACTTCTGAATTTGGTACAATCTTCAATTTTGGACCCCGTTGCTGAGGTGAGTTCTGGTTAGTAGATGCAATCCGCTGAACAGTTCTGATATTTATTCCATGGTTTCCAGCAACATTGGTTTTGGATCTGCCTTGGTCTAACTGTTCTAAAATCGAACTTCGCCTTCTTGGTGTAAACGTTCTTGTACACTTTACCACAATATTTTTTTCAACATTCCTCCCTTTGAAGTAAATAGAAGAGGGGTTTTGTTCCCCTTTGGAAAACCCTTTTTTCCCTTTCATTGTTACACTTCAACTGAACAGATTTAATTCAAAACAGTTTTCTTAAACCAGTACCGAAAGAGGTCAAAAGTGCAAAATAAGCGGGAAAATGTAAAACAATGTAGCAGTTTGCTGTCAGTCTCAAGTGAACACCTGGTATCCGTTTGTAAAATAAAAAAATTTGAGTGTTGGAAATATGTTCACGTTTAAGTATGCTAAATTTCATGAAGATATGTACGTAGGAAAGTACTTTAATCTTAAAATGAAGTTGGCGACAAAATTATGTGTGGGGTACTACAGTATTCAATGTTTCCTCGTCAAACTATAAAGGAAGAGGGAAGTTAGCACAACAGATTTTGGACAGTCATATGTTTGATTTCGGCCATTTCTTGGGGATTTAAACAGGTGCATATGTTAGGCGAATGTTTTACCTCCAGGAAAATCACTTCTAAAGATGATAAAATAATTTCGACTTTGAGACAGGGTAGATGCAAACAACCCACCCACATGTTTTTTCTGAAATGTTTTCCTGATTTTCAACCCCTTCCATCCTTGCTTTTTTAATTTTTCTTGCATCAATATGTTGCGTTTTGACACATAGTTAATCCCTAGAAATGCGCAAGATACTCTTTTGGTGTATTAGTCTAATTGAATTGTTTAATTTTTGAAACTACACATGCCTTACCTTAAGGAAGAGCATGTTTAAAAATAATAAGCATAATTCTAAACCATTAGCCAAATGGGTTGAACATTAATATGTTTGAAGCAAGGTAGTAGAAACTGCAAAACTATTACATTGTACATTGTATCTGAGTATTCCAACCATCATATGATCCACCTTTCATAGTTAGAGAGCTGTTGTAAGTCTGTCGATACATCCTAACTGTTTACTCACTACCTCCAATCTGGGCTCTAGATGAGTGTAGTATCTATGAAGTGTTCATTGAATTAGAACCTACATGGGTTATATACCTACCATCAAATATGATGACAAATCTAGTATGGGTTACATACCTACAACTACAATCAAATTATAATAGTATAGGCCTAATCAAATATGGATGACATGTCTAGTATGGGTTACATACATTCAAATATCAATTACATGTCTAGTATGGGTTACATACCTAGAAGTACAATCAAATAATAGGCCTAGTCAAATATGGATGACATGTCTAGTATGGGTTACATACATTGAAATATCGATTACATGTCTAGTATGGGTTACATACATTCAAATATTGATTACATGCCTAGTATGGGTTATGTACCTACATTCAAATATTCATTACATGCCTAGTATGGGTTATGTACCTACATTCAAATATCCATTACATGCCTAGTATGGGTTATGTACCTACATTGAAATATCCATTACATGCCTAGTATGGGTTATGTACCTACATTGAAATATCCATTACATGTCTAGTATGGGTTATGTACCTACATTGAAATATCCATTACATGTCTAGTATGGGTTATGTACCTACATTCAAATATCCATTACATGTCTAGTATGGGTTATGTACATACATTCAAATATCCATTACATGCCTAGTATGGGTTATGTACCTACATTCAAATATCCATTACATGTCTAGTATGGGTTACATACATTCAAATATCCATTACATGCCTAGTATGGGTTATGTACCTACATTCAAATATCCATTACATGTCTAGTATGGGTTATGTACCTACATTCAAATATCCATTACATGTCTAGTATGGGTTACATACATTCAAATATCCATTACATGCCTAGTATGGGTTATGTACCTACATTCAAATATCCATTACATGTCTAGTATGGGTTACACACCTACAATCAAATATGAATACATATTAACACATCCTCTATCAAGTATGGGTCATCTAGTTATTCATACTACAGTTGGAATCTACTTTACAGATGCATGAATATCTCTACAAAAGTATGGATTGAAGTTTATAAAATTTCAAAAAATATTCTCTTGTGATATAGATGAAGAGTGGTTCTAACCCAATTTTGATGAATTCCAGAGAGATGTTGAAATATTGAAGGAGCAGTTCACACGAGTGTACATGGATACTGCCTACCCATTGCTACACCTTGTTACCATGCCAACTTACATATTGTGCCACCCAGAAACTGAAGAGGTAAATTTTTATGTTCAGTAAACTACTGGTTTTAGCTCACATGTTGAGCTTTTGCAAAATTGCTCTGTTAATGTTATGCTATATATATTTCAACTGCATTACATGTAATTTAAATAAATTATAAATAAATATTATTTAAGCATGTTTCTTCTCACTGATTGGTTGAGAAAATGTCAGAATGGTTGGTTTGAATCGATTTATGATCCGGGCTCAGAGGTTATTTTTGAATTAACCTTTTCAGTCAGGGTAATGTCCCGGGAACCCTAATGTAATTGTGATTTAATTTATTTCCAGGCCAGGCAAATAGAAATCAACAAATTATTAAAGACAGTTAGGACTAAGAACATTGTGGCAGCTTTGTTGTCTGCTGACAATACTTACACACCCTTTGACATGAGAGAACTCTCATTTGATATCCTTGGACCTTTCTGCAATACTAAATAAAATAAGGAAAATATAGCCCTGCATCAATGGAGCTTTGCTGTATACTAGTGCATCACAGTATTCCTGGAAGTAGCACAAGCACGAAAGTAGTGCTGGGCTTCAGTGTCGATATTGTCGATCAGATGCTGGATGTTGTATCTCTTACCTCTCCCTCATAAACTATAGCTGCGCTCTGATTTTGCATTGTTCTTTTGTAAAACAACATCAATTGGCAAGAACTTTTGCTCAATTTTTAACCGGAAGTGCTGGGCTCATTGCTTTTCAAATGCTCTTCAAAATAGAGGGCCGAAATGTAAACATCGCTAGATTAGTTTTCTTACAGCTTAAAGTTAAACTTCTCTCATTAAGACTCTCTTTTAGTATGATAGGCGGAACTTGAGGCACATTAAGTCATTAGTCAAAAGAGTGTCTGAATTAGATTAAAAGATGAAGAATAAGGTTTTCATTGGGATTTCAACATAAGGAATCATATTTTTTGATTTCTTTTACTTTTCGGGGCACTACCAATCAGTATGAAGTCAGGTGTACATGATACCGGTATTTGAATTTAATTCCACTTGCAGCACTACTGTATACTGAATAGGATATTGTCATCCCCTTGGTTAGAGGGGCTGGTGCCAGAGCTTGATGCAGGACTCCAGAGGATGAGTCAATATTCAGTGTTGATAATGTATTTAAGGAATAAACTTTGATAGGCCATCAATATGGTGAAACTCAGCATGATTTGGACAGAATGTCTTACAAGTATGAACTGACCGTGAGTGCATTTGTATTGACATTCTGCCCAAAGTGTGCTGAAGTTCATCATATTGAATGACCTATAATTATTTTTTCTGATTCAAACATAAAAAATGAAAACATTGTTCAGAGAATCAGGGATTGAGGTCCATGAAATAACCAAACTTGCTGTTATTTTCGCCACAGTACAACATAATACAAAAATTCCGAGATGATTGAATAGATCCACAGTCATTCATGTATGGAGAATTAGAGCATGGCTATGCTGCATTCTGATTGGTTGGAAAACTCAATGAGAGAATTATCATGTTTGAATGTGGCATACATTAGATGACACATTGATGTGTTTCTAACTTTCTATGACCTGATTCATGTAAATATTCTTCAGGAAGCTATATTTGTGATATGTACATCATTTGTTGTACCCTATGTACTGTGTTGCACTATACAGCATAGCGCTGTACTGTACTGTACTGTTCCATACTGTGTTGTACTGTTCTGCACTGTACTACATTTCACTGCAAACAAGTGTATGCTACTGAACTGTATTGTACTATACCGTACTGTACTGTACAGGCTCCTGAATGTACTTTGAAATGAAATTCTTTCAACAGCCACTCATGTGCAAAACACAAGCTGAAAAATGACAATAAATCTCAATTAGCTAAATATCTACGGTGCTAGTATTAAGTTGATAAGCTTTAATTAAATAATAATTGAAGAGCATGGAAGTTCAACTCATTTTACAGTTGGCCCCCATTGCTATTTTATCAAATAGGCTATTTGTTTTGTAAATAAACAATGTAAATATATAAATGTAATTTATTTGAATGTATCTTATTCAGTCTAATTTACTTTTAATAGTTTATTTTAGTGTTATTGTTATATAGTAATTTTTGTAATAAGTGCTGATAAAAATGCTGTAACTTTTTTGTTTTTTATATCTTACTAATTTTTCTAGTGTGCATTGTTGAGTATTATACTGATGTACCGTGAAAGTTACAGGACTGTTCTCCAACAGGAAGGTGGTGCTTGGTTGAGCCAAAGGTGGTTAGTGGTGGATCAGGTCTGCACGAAAAAAAAGTCTCACAATGACCAACTTAAGATGTGAATATTGCTCCTCAGTCAATTGCTTGCGCGCCCCTTGTCACATTTTAATGACATTTCAAAATCATTATGAGTTATATGGTGTGTGTGATCAACACTTGAATGAGTCATGTCTGCAATTTTTCTAATAGGAATTTATCCAATATTTCTTTTATTGTATCAATCTGACTCAGGGAAGTTAGTGTTTTTGGTCACCCCTGTCTGGGTTCATCTTCAACTGACCTTCTCCCACTTTGAAATAGCGGTACCTACGATATTTGCCAGGGGTAGATATAGTGTCCTTTCCATAAGCATTATGAATGTCCTCTATTGTATCCTGTTTTGATTTATCTAGGAGTATGGAGAACTTGGTGCTGCTTCTAAATTTGATGCTGAATATAATTGATGTTCTGTTCAGCAGTCATGTTGTAGATGACAATTTCTGCTAAGTCCGTGTGATGTAATTTCTCCATGAAGTCATCTGATCCATTGCCCTGTGATATTTGCTCACTGAGACATGTAATTGTATTCATATGAATTGCTCTGTGATGTCATTTCCACCTTACAATTTGCTCTTTGATGTCATCAATAGGTGCTGCCAAGGTAGCTTAGAACCAGTTTTTATTTACCAACTGTCAAAATGGATTCAAAAATAAATGTACCGTATGAAGATGTTCACATTTTAAGTCGGTTATTTTGAAAATAATTTCGTGCAGACCTGAACCACAACGGACCACCTTAGGCTCCACCCAGTACCACCTCCCTGTTAGAGTACATTCTTGTAACTATCACAGTACATTCGTACAATGCTCAACAATGCACAGTAGAAAAGTTAATTAGAAATATAAAATTTAAAAAAGTTATAGCATTTTTATCAGTATTTATTGGATGCCCTCTATATTCGTAAGTTACAGTATAATACATGTAATAGTTGATGCAATACAAAAAGTACAACCTAACCCACTTTGGCTTATTATTATCAACAAAGTTAAACAAAATATACAATGACATGCCTAATCAGTATATGCATATTATGCATTGATTTTTAAAAGTATAACTCTGCTAAAAAAACTCCAAAATTGCAATTTTACATAACAACTTGTAAGACATATGTATAGAGCTAGAATAAACGAAATACGATATTAAATATAATACTCATATTACTTGTGTATTTTGTGCATTTTGGAAAGGTAACTTTTCACATAGGCTTCCTTTGCGTAGAGGGGTGACAAAATCGCATGTGCCATTTATCTAGCAATGTACTTATTATGATCCCAAAAGATCCTCAATATTTTAAAAATTCATGAAGTTATTTAATTCTACCAAATAATATAAACAATAACCACATTTATAGAAACATGATACATGTACAGGGTGGTCCAAAAAAGTGGGACACTCGGATTTCTAAAATAAATATTGATTTTCTTGATTGAAACATGCCATATTATATACCAGTGGTTAGGGAATTTACTTATCTTTAATTTGGTAAATCATAAGTTCAAATTTATTATAATGTCTGTCAACCAGGGTCCATAAAATAACAAATTACGTCATTTTAGTTTCAAAACAGGTTTTCCAAAACTTGCAAAAACCCAAAAAACAGGCTTTCAATATGTCCAACATTTTGATCAATATCCTAGATGCGAGTAGAAATAATCTTGATTAACGTCATTAAAATTTCACAATTCAGTCAAACTGGTGTCATATTTGGAATCTTCATATAAAATTACATCTTAAAATGTGGTTTTGAAAGAAGTTTATCATCTTTGAAAATTTAATTTTCTTTGAAAATGTGACTTCTAGGTCCGGGAGATTCCCCATAGACCCCATGTTGTAAAACTACAAAAAGTGAAATATCTTTTCTTGTGTCGGGCAGATAATATTTTCTTTTACTGGACATATTTTAATTTATATAACTATCACATACATAAGGTAAGGTAATATGAAAAGTGAACCACTAAAACTGATGCTTATTCAAGATTAAGGAAATTTTGTAATACCCTACCATGTTATTTCCCCCTAATCAGCCACCTGGTGGCGAAACTGGTAACTACCTACTTGCATCTGAGTAATTGTATATGTAGCCCTCAATTTTGGCCTAAACTGGCCAATAGCATCATTGATATGCTGTTGAGACAATGAATTTCACTTTCCACTGGTATGACACGTTTTCATCAAGAAAATCAATATTTATTTTTGAAATATGAGTGTCCCCTTTTTGGACCACCCTGTACATTATAGTAAAAATCTTTTACTATTGATTGGCTCCCAGAGTAAAACATCATACAGGGGCATGTCGTGACTACAAAATTTGAATTCAAACACTGCCATTTTGTTCACTTCAACATTTCAATCGTGAATTTTGATCTTCTTTCCAAACAAAAAATTGCAAAACTCACAAGAAATGATCAAGATATTGGTTAAATTCTTTTGGACTGTTTATTTTGAATTTATAGTCAGTTATAATTTCAGAAAATAATGACATTTCAACGTTTTCGTTGTAGGAAAATATCGAGTTTTAGTCCTAGGAGCCAATCCTCCTTGGCGCCTAAATATTTCTAAATATGATTTTGAATGTCGCCTAAAAGTTACATTATAATCTAGTCAATTTATTTCGATTTACTCTGTCGTTTGCTTGGAAAGGAGGCGCAGTTAACTTGATGCCCGCTACCCTGCTAGACTATATCCTCTAGTCTGAATTTTTTTGAAATTTGGAATGAAAATATTCAGACTATAGCCCCCATATATATTAAAATTTGGGATTGAAAATTATTTGTTTACATAGGAAGTGCCATTCAAAATGGCCGATTGGGTAAATTAATTTGCATATTTGTTACTTCCCCTAGCTTTATTTCCATTTGACAATGTGCTGTGTTACTTTTTATAGCATTTAATTGTGCCTTACTACTTAATCGAATTGTTATGTCAAGTGAAGTTTCCTTAAATTGATAATTGTGTACAGGAAATTTCCTGTTGTTTCCCACAGGAGGGACATAATGATCAATAGACTGAATTCTCAGGAATTTCAGTCTATCTATTGGATGTAGACTAGCTAACCTCCCCCATCTCAAATAACCGCGGCCATTTTGGTTCCCGGTTATTCAAGTCCTCGTATGCATGTGCCCCCCCCCCCCTCCTACTATTATGACAAGACCCTACCAAGTTGTATATGTGCAATCTATTTTAGTAGGTCTATGGATATATACTCAATAAAATAACTCAATGAAATGTAGGTGTTATTTAGTTTTACGTCCAATTTATTTATTCTTTGTGTCAAAATATTAATAAAAATAGATATCTTAGATGTAGTAGGGAATCGTCATGTCGATGACGTCACTTCAAAATGGCAGGTGTTAAAATTTTCAGAAAATCTAGGACGGTATACCGGTTTCTGCAATAACTCTGCAACAAAGAAAAGTAAGAAGTAAAACAGAACATCCCTTATTATCTAGTTTTTCCAATAAATCAAATAACAGATGCTTATATGTGTAAATTCGGGAGAATTTGACACTTCTTTTATTATTAGAGTCTATTTGAAAATTTTCATGATCCGATTCCATGATCATGACAGAGAACATTGATCAGTATTACCTTCTTCTAAGGCCACTGTATCGTGGCCTTCCAGTACAGATATATTCCTGCATGAACAACTGGTCATGTCGTAATCATAAAATTTGAAATCATATGTCCGCCATTTTTCCACATCACAATTTGAATTGCGAGTTTTGGTCTTATTACCTCACCAAAAATTCCAAAACACACACAAAGTGATCAGTGTATTAGTTCACATCTTCTGGATCGCTAACTTAGAATTTACAGCCAGTTACTAATGTCAGACGTTAACGACATTTCGTCCAGTTTTCGAACATCGCCATTTTTCTTGGAGCCATTTTGTTTTAATTTTAGACGAAATCCTGATGAAATCATGTCATATCTCATCAAGGAGCCGAGCAGGGTCCGGTTTGATTAATGATTTATTTATCTGGCGATTTTTAAAATATTCAATAAATTTATGACACCCCGGCAAGCTTTTTTCAAATAGAGTTCACAGTATTCCAGATGAATCCCCTCTAGCCAAGTATTGGCTAGAGACTCGAGTAAGATCAGTAGACCTAATTCATTCATGTATTTGATCATTCAATTACCCGAGTGACAGAACATCAAGAATGTTTAAAATATATTAAATAAATGAAGACCCATTCCTTCTGGTATGGAACACTGGGTTCACCACAGTCAGTACTCTCTACTCCAGGTCTCTACTCCGGTCTGCACTACTTTTTTCAGAGCCTGACTGTGTTGCTCGATTTTGAAAATTTTTGCAATTTTACGAATTACAAACATTTGTTACTATGAATGGTACAAAAACAGGCTCCAGGATCAGAATGGCAGGCCTGTCAACTGTCCCGCAATTTGCGTATTTGTCACGCATTTGCTGAAGAATTTGAAGTCACGCCAGTTATTTTTGCGTGACAGAAAATGTCACGCAAATACGCATTTTACCTGGTAATTGTCAAGCAAAAATATTTCTGTAGAAAAATTTCTAAAAAAGTTCGCCTACATAGCAAAAATACAAACGCCGAAAAAAACGCACGCATTTCGGACGGACTTTTCACGTGAATTACGTATATGTCATGCATTCCGTTCGAAATATTTCGTACCTACCCCCCCCTAATCACCTAATCATTCAGCCCTCTGAGAGTGAAAAATAGATACAGTGAGGAACATAAAGAATTACTATGGCTATGAAAATTATATGCTGTCGCACATGTACTAAATTGTTACCTCAGTGTATTCAGTGCTCTATTTTCTCCGCCCTAGTAGGTCCAAATATAGTGGAATTTGTGTCCATAATGACAAATAAGAACTTAAAAGTTGAAGTGGATATTTACACGTTAATGCTGACTCTTCTAATGTTGAGGTAATTTTGTAGCCCGATTACGCCATAACGGAGGATTGGCTCCCAGAATGCAACATGACACGTGCCAGCTTTTAAAATGCCGTTCCGCCATTTTGAAATCTGTCACGAGTAAATAAGGTTACTGTAAAACGGGTAATTATGACACCGGGAAATTTTAGCGATTTTTCAATTTTAGGGGGTTTTAGCGCGGGAAATTTTAGAGAAATGAAGATTAATCTTTAAAAAATCAAATTAGCGAAATGCATTAGAAATTTTATCATTTATGGCAGAAGAATGAATAACGGACATGACAGAGGAATTATCAAAATGTAAGAATAACACCTTTTATCTTTATATTTACTACTAATACTATTTCACTGATGGATGGCTCAGTGATGTTGATAGAAATTTTAAAGTATGGGACACAGATCAAAAAAATGTCCCACTCCAACTAAAAATGTGGGTCATTTCAATTTTTTTGGGGACATTTTTTCCGTCGCGATTTAATAAAAATTTATAACTTTGTCTCGCTCCTGCTTCTGAAACAAGCAATAAAGTAAAATTATATTTTAAAAAAATTGGCCAGGGGTTCCCCTGTATTTTATCATTTTTCATTAAGGGGTTTCACTTGATCTCATGGGGTACGGCAGTAAAAAATAAAGTCTTAAACCCTCCAAAGAGGTTCTCTGTATTTTACACTTACTCGCCGGTGGTTCGGCATTTAAAAAATGAAGTTCCAAATCAAACAAATTCGGGTACAGTCAAAACAGAAATGTTTGTAACTACTTTGAATTTAAAAAATAAGCAATCAAATGACCATATTGAAACAGTTTATGTAAAAATAGAAACATTTATATTTATCCTAACTTTGTTTTGTATATTTCAGATAGACCAGATAGTAATGTATAATGTGCAGCAAAGCTGTGGCCTTTTATTATTCGTCTTTCTGGTGTGGAATATATATGCTTTCAATCAATTGAACATATCTGCATTATATACTATTGTGTATGTACGTTTAATACGTGGTAATATGCAATAAAATCGGGATAAAATTGAAATTCGAATATTTTTTTTTGATTCATCGATGGTTGTTTTGATACATGAAAACTACGAACGATTTAGAGTGTTAATGTTCGTATTTTTGTAGAGAATCTATTGTATCATCAATCACTGGTAATTTCTAAATAAATCATAATTAACAAATTCATTGCTATGAAATAAATATACAATATCCCTGTTACAGTGTAAAGTTAGTTCTGAGGCATTTAGTGCAAATAGTATAAACCGTTCGCATTTATTTACAAATGAGACAACTGTTCGTACTTCTTATGCATAGCGGCCATGTCAATCATAAAGACAAAGGCCAACCCTCCTTACCATATACGGACCTGGAAATCACGTGATGACATAACCTATGAGTGATTCGTCATAACAAATTGACCCGGGGATGTGCGCAACTGATTTGCGAAGCTAGATTCGCGTGTTAACTACAAGCACGAGATAACAAACTGACGAAAGTAATTTGATAAAAATATTGCTTAAATCTAAGTGATGGGCCTCATAACTGGACCATACTCAAATTGAACTGACAGGTATCAAGAATAGGATTCAATCTCGACTACAAGGCAACATGTTTTGACTGCGTCATGATTTTACAGATTGGACGCACTGAGGTAATGAATCTGCGTCTTCCCTGTTAAAATTGCGCCAAAGACGCAAAGAAGCGAGCTATCAACATCACTGATGGCTATTTATCCTTCAGATATTGAAAGAAACATACGATTTAAAAATATTTACCTTTTTCAAATTACAAACCGGAAGTCGAGCACTGAACGAAAAGCTCATTAAATACTAGTATTCATGTAGTTTCCCGGGAATTTGCAAATTTTAGCGCCCGGTTTATTTTATCCCCGGTTTATTTTAGCGAATTGAATTTTTAGCAAAACTATAGCGATCGCTAACAATCGCTAACAATTACCCCTCGCTTACAATACCCGTTTTACAGTAACTGATGTTGCATTCTGGGAGTCAATCTTCCTTGAATCACAAATATGGCGATTCATGAAAACATTCGTTCGATTTGGTAGGGATTTATCCATCATTTGCAGGTATGAAGCTTTGGATTCATTAATTGTGCTACTTAAAGTGAACGGGAATTATTTTTCTACCACTTGGGAGAGTTTGAGACACAAAACTTGGAATTTAGCTCATTGTGACAACTTTTGATGGTTGAGTTTTATTTTTGTCCCCCACTTTAAAAGTTGTATTTTCGGAAAGGATACCAAACAGAATCCTTTAAATTCTTCAGTAAATGTGCCCAATTGATTACTTTAAATGCTAGGAGCTTTGAAAATTTGAATTCATTCCTAGAAATAGAAAAAATGATTTTAAAATTGATCTATTTGTTCCTTTTTATGACTACCATTTTTGTTTCAGACAAAATTTAAAATCATTTTTTCTATTTCTAGGAATGAATTCAAATTTTCAAAGCTCCTATTAAAGTCTCATGGTAGTTACAGAAAGTAGTTACAAAAACAAAAAATTCACCATGTTCACATAGTTATAGATTTTATCAGTGAACATAGGTTTCAGTTTTGATGCTCTGATGAAAATTTTTAACCATCAATTTTAGGTTCACTAATCACTTTAGGTTCAAACCTACTGAAAGGCTGGGATATATGCTTAGTATTAACATTCTAAGCCTGTTTGCTTCCAGAGTTATGGTTCTATAAATGTCCCAGAGCAGTGCCAAGCGATTGAGAATGGAGAATTCTAATGGCGAACATGAAGCGAGTCCAAGTCCCTCTTTACGGAAGCTTGAGGAAAATCCAGAACACGGAATCAAAATTCTCCAAGGCTTGAACAAATTGAAAAATGATCGTGTCCTTTGTGATGTTACTTTGATAGCAGAAGGTAAGCACTAGCAGTACTATGTTGCAGTGATCTCCATGTGGCATATAATTATTTTTTTAATTGAGAGAGGTCTTATTTTTCTATACCATTTTACAACTCATGCAGTGATCTCCTTAATCTGAGGAACTGACAACTTATTTAAAAAACTATACCAATTTACAATTTATGTTTGGTTTTTCTAGTGGTTTTGTTCCATAACTAAATCCTGGTTTTGTTTCAGATCAAAAATTTGATGTTCATAAAGTGATACTTGTATCATGTTCAGACTACTTCCGGTCCATGTTCACCAGTGGAATGAAGGAGAGCAAGCAGCATGAGATTGAACTAAAGGGGGTTACTGCTAAAGGCCTCGATAAAGTACTTGAGGTTGTTTATACATCAACTACAACACTTGACGGTGATGATATATTTGATGTGATTGCTGCAGCCACACATTTACAAGTGACGCCTGTCATAGAATTCTGCGAGAAAAATTTCTTGAGTGGAATGACAACTAGTAACTTTTATGATTTTATCACAACTGCCAAACTTTATAACATGAACAATGCAATTAAACAAATTGACTCATTTATTGCCCAGAACCTTCTACAAATTGCAAGTCAAGGCACATTGCATCTGATCACTATAGAACAATTAGAGAGCTGTATGAACTCTGAAACTCTAAGTCTACGTGAAATAGACATATTCCAAATAGCATGGGAGTGGCTCCAGCAGGATCCTAGCCATGTACAGTATGCTACAGCATTGATGCACTCAATACGTTTTGAATTGATTGACCCCGCCGATCTTGTAATGAGAGTGCAGAATGTCGAGGGTATGATGAATAATCCTGATTTACGAGGCTTAGTACTTTCTGCACTGAATTACCATGTTATGCCCCACATGCAACCTATAGCTAATAACCAGGGTATTAACTTGCGTGCTTACGTGGAGCGTTTAGTCAGCATTGGAGGCAGGGAGATTCACCCACACCCTGGCTTGCATGATGAAATTGTAGTATTTGACTCTGAAATCACTGCACATAGTCTACTAAATAAACGAGACATCACAACATTGCCAAATGCCATGAGTCATATGCAGGTGGTCGTATTCAACAACTTTCTGTATGTTCTTGGAGGCTGTACAACCCAATGTGCCCACGGGGAATCTGCCGTTAACTCAGCTTTAAGATATGATCCTCGGTTCAATTCCTGGCTACAATGTGCTCCAATGAGTAGCAAACGAGCATACTTTTTTGCTGGTGTATTGAACAATAAAGTGTATGCCATAGGAGGTAAATACAAAGAAGGTGCTCTAGCAACTGCAGAGAGTTACAGTCCGGCAACCAATAGCTGGGAGATGGTGCCATCTATGCCCAGTGCCTACCATGCACATGCTGGCTCAGTCTACAACAATTATATCTACATATCAGGGGGCTACAGTAGCAACCATTTCACTCCTGATATGCAGCGCTACTGTCCTGGGAACGAACAATGGGAGGATATGTCAAGTATGTTAACTCCCAGGGGGTGGCACGTCATGTGTGTCGCAAAGGATAAACTGTTTGTGTTCGGTGGATGTAATCTAAATGCCAACCAACAAGCCAACCCTGTGATGCAATCTGAACTCTATGACCCAGCCACGGATCAATGGACAGTCATTGCTCCTTTATCTCTATCCCATAAAGAGGCTTCTTGTGTTGTTTACGGGGACCATATTTATGTACTTGGAGGTTACAATGTACAAACCAAAACAGGGCAGAAGATGGTGTCTCGCTATGACATCTTTACTCAAACATGGGAAACTGTAGGTGCTTTATCCCAAAGTATGACAGGGGTGGGTTATTGTACACTCAAGGTCCCCATGTATCATCCCTCCATAGGTGATAGATAGCACAATATACATATAGTCAATATCAATAACCAATGTTCAAGTTTTCACCTAAGAATATGGGGAATCCTTTGATTCCAAAATAAGATGGAAATCAAATGCCACATTATATTTTTTTGCTATACTCCCACTTTGGATATTTTCAAGGAGGATTGGCAGCCATGATTCAAACTTGATCCTTCATTAGCTGGCATGGGTCAATTTAGTAATAATATTACCCATAGTGTTGAAGACTAGCACTGCCATGGGAGTTTGAATTATACCATAATACTCGTACACTAGGTAATGTTAATCTCCCTACTAAATACTCAGTCTAAATATTGAAACATTATAACCAAATTGTTCCATGCCAGGCAATGGAGGATTGTGTTTGAATCGTGGTTGTAAATGGTCAATGTTGATCAGCTTAAATGACTGCATTTGTTCATTATTTTCCCACAAATCCAAAACCCAGATATTTAGTTGAAATGACGTTTCTTCATTGATGCACAGTTTAAAGGTGGTTAGATCTGAATGACGTTTTTTTGTTGTAAGATCACTCATGTATTGACAGGCTGTAAACGAGTAAATTAAAAGTAATTTTTGAATATTAAAATTGGAATACTGTAGTTCATTTATACAACTTTATGACTTTCTCAATGTACTTTCACTTGACATGACAGGATCAAGAATTGAGGGCTATAAGTCTAAAGCAACCTCCAAGTGCAGAGTTATGGACATCATTCACTTAGATTCTTTCATCTCCTCTTGCAAATCGGAGATTGTAAAAAAAAGCGTACTGTCCTGATTATGGGACTCTGCCTCAACCCTTTAGATTTTCCGATGTCTACATGTGCATATGTGGTTAAATATCTGATTTTAGTGCAATTCTATAGTCTTTAAAACATTTATTTGTAGATTTTTGTAAATTTAATTTTTGTACACTGCATCAATCGATGAGTACAGTCATTGGTTTTTGCCAAGGTATGATACTAAGCAACACAACACCATAAACCAATATTTTGAGGACCATTTGCAAATAACTCTTAAGTTCTAGGTTTGATCTCATTAAAAACATTCTTTTTTCATTTTTCTTTGTCAACTTTATTTTGTTTGTTTGTTAATAAAAAGACTGAATGCACAAGAAAATAGCTTACATGTACAGATCATAAAATATTAGGATACATGTACAAACAGGTGGTTCATAAAGAAGCTCCACTTTGACCTCAGTTCAAAAGTTCTAATCATACGTCATAATTTATTGCAAATCAACTTTTATACAAGGTCATGGATTAAATATTGTAAAAGATATGGTAGTTATTATTATTATGTCCCCACCACATAGTGTGGGGCCATATTGTCGGCCTAGGCGCGTCCGACTGTCTGTCCGTCCGTCCGTCTGTCCGTCCGTCCGTCCGTACGTCCAGCAGTTTTCTCCAAAACTGCTACAGATATCACCTTCAAATTTTCAGGGATAACTTATGAGTGCCTATAGATGTGGATGAAAAAAATTTAACTCGAAACCTACTTCCTGTCGGCCATTTTGAAGTCAAATGCTAAAATCCTTGTCTGCAAACTTTAAGAAAAACTGCTTCACAGTTGCTTTTAAAACTTTAACATCTTGTTCAGCTCACTTCATTCTAGATCTGATTAGGTTTTGGACCTGCTAGCTCAGTCATGTCAGCCATTTTGAATGTCTTAAGAAAAGTTAGCGCGCGATAATACTTTGTATCATATTGAATGGTGTTTTTGAGTTTTCATACTTTAACTATTTAGTAGCTTTATAAATAATTTCAGATGTACTTTGTTGTAAAAGCCTACTTTATTGTTAACAGTAGTTATATGTGATAATTTTGTTAAAGGAAATCAGCAAAAACTCATAAGGACTTTTTTATTGTCGGCCATTTTGGATTTTTCGGTCCTAAAATCTTGTCTGTGAAGTCTTGTCTGCGCGTTTTCAGGTGAACCGTTTGGTGGATCAATTTCAAATTTTCAGGGATGATTCTTAGTATAAAAATCTAGATCTCATTAGTTTTTTGGCATTCTGGGTAAATGTCAAGGCAGCCATTTTGGATTTTCCGTCCTAAAATCTTGTCTGTAAAGTCTTGTCTACTCGTTTTCAGGTGAACTGTTTGGTAGATCAATTTCAAATTTTCAGGAATGATCCTTAGTATGAAAATCTAGAATTGATTAGTTTTTTTGCATTCTGGGTAAATGTCAAGGCAGCCATTTTGGATTTTCCGTCTTAAAATCTTGCCTGTAAAGTCTTGTCTAAGCGTTTTTAGGTGAATGGTTTGATAGATCAATTTCAAATTTTCAGGGGTGGTTCTTAGTATGAAAATCTAGAACTGACTAAATTTTTGGCATTCTGGGTAAATTTTAAGGTGGCCACTTTGGATTTTCCGTCCTCAAATTGTGTTGGTAAAGTCTAATTGTCTACTCATTTTCAGGATAACCATTTGATGGGATCACCACTTGGTGGGGACATTTTGTACACATTTGTGTTCTTGTTACTATTGTGGGACATGAATCCGACAATCAGGCAACATTTTATTCATAGTTGTACCATTACCGGTAACTGGTAACTGTTCTATGTCAGTATATAATATTGTAACATTATAAATGGCAAATGCTTTCTATCAGACCTATTGTATTGCAAAACCAAATGTTTTCATCAGTAAAGATTATGTACGTGTGAAAGTAATTATCTGTTTTGTTATTTTTTCTCAATTCCGAGGGTCAAACTTTTTACATCATGTCCCCAAAGAGGTGCTTTCAGTTAGCAAGGACAATTTTAGTACCCTGTGATATTTGCACATTGGGGAGTTAGAATTTCTGTTTATCTAGTTACCTTCCAATGGTCTATTTTAACACTTAATCCTATCCATATTGTATGACATCATTGTTTTTTGTGGGATGATAAATAATTCATTGATTTAGAGGTTGAAAATCCCCTAAATTGCTTATTGGTTAAAAAAGGCATTTAAAGAGTTACGATAAGCTTCCCGTATAAAAGCAAAATGGCAGCTCCAGGTAATCAACTGGCTCAGTCCATTTTAAAAAAATACAGGGAGTTTTGTTTATTCAAGTTTATTGAGATCGTCTTGGAGATAAAGTAATCTGTTTACAATGATTCTGTCAGCACCTAGTGAATTGTCCAAAGGATGCATGTATAACAGCCAATATAAATCCTTGTATTAGAACTGCTTCATTTCATTTGGAGGATATTTCATAAGCCTTGCTGTGTGCTAATACCTGATGGGGAAATCTAAATAGATGTCACTTTTCCTCAATACACACAAAGAGAAGATCCTGAAAGTTCACCATAAATGTGAAATTGATTTGTCAAAAAATAAATCTCCCTTTTATAAATACTGGATGAGCGTGGTGTAAAAGTGGTTTTGAAAAGTAGCAAATTTCTCTTCATGTAGGTTATTTGTGGTTCATGATTCTACATTGATTCTGAAAATACTGGTGTCTAGTTTTTCAGCGTTTTGGAAATATTCAGATTTATACCCCCCTTGTTTGATTTTGAGGGGGTACTAGGAAGGCCATGTAAGATTCCTAGAATTTACAACCAATCATTTTGATATTTACAGGTAATCATGTACTTATCATGTACTACAAAAGTAATAAGTTTCATCAAAGTTAGTCAACTGGTTGCTATGGAAACGGAGATCATATGTCAAAAAGTACACAATTTCGTCAAAATGTAAGACACCCCATGAGACAAAACACACATTATTTTAATGAAATTGGAAAGAAACACCATAAAAACATTTTAGAAAACTTATTAAGAGTATGTTTGATAATATTAAATCAAGCGGTGTTTTATCCTATCCACACAGTGAAATCTATTGCTCATGATTATATGGCAATGCAAATTAATTTAGAAAGGGGACGTGGCACTTTTCCAAAGAATTCTTAACTTGTGTCCAAATTTTTGAAGAAAATAAATATCCAATTGTCCTGTTATTTACAGATATTATTCACATCATTATGTTTGACTATCATGGAAAGTTTCATCAGTGTTGGTGTACTGGTTACTATACTATGCAGATTTATACCCCTTGGTATGATTTTTAATGGGGGTACAATGAAAGCCATCTATAATTCCTAGAATATACAGCCAATCATCTTGATATTTACAGGTAATCGTCTACATATCATGTCTTACAACCATGACAATTTTCATCAATGTGTATCAATTGGTTGCTATGGAAACATAAATCATTTTTTCAAAAGTACACATTAAGGGAGGTACTATGAAAGCCATATATAATTCCTAGAATATCTAACCAATCATCTTGTTATTGGCAGGTAGTTATCTACTCACCATGTTCTTCCACTATGACAAAGTTCATAAATGCAGGGCAAATGGTTGCTATGGTAACAGAAATCATTTGTTAAAAAGTACACATTAGGACGTACTATGAAAGCCATTTATAATTCCTTAAATATCAAAATAATCATTATGATATTTACAGACAATCTACTACTTATCATGTCCTACCATGATGACAAGTTTCATCAATGTGGGTCAAATGTGGGTAGAAATCTATTTGTTAAAAAAGTACACATTTCGTAAGTTTTAAGACACACCCTAAGACATTGAAAATCTTCATCAAATTAGGAGGAATTAGCATGAAAACATTTTTAAAAACCTATTTTGAGTATGTCTGATAATATTTAATCAATGGATATTTCATCTGGGCCATTTGATATATTGTATTTGCTTATGATAATAAAACTATGCAGAATGCGGCTGTCACATTATGCGTAGGGACATAGTAAATTATGAGCTGATCTCACTTAGTCATCTTTTATATCATTTGCATCAAAATCCTCATTCATAGATCTTTCAACGTCTACTTCTGTCAAAGCATCCGTTGCAATCTTTATGTGACTATATGTCTATGAGATCATCAGGTGGAATGGGTTGGTCTGGCCAATTTGGCTCTATTTTGCCATCAACAAGTTACCACGTCACTTGTAATAAACAAACTAAGAGATAAATACAACTATTACACCCAATTAAAAATACTGGAAATGCTTCTTAATGAATTCTAAAAACAATGAACAGTTGAAAAAAACCATCAGACATAAAAAAAAGTTGAGAACAACAGCATGTATTACACTGAGTGTAAAACATGTCCGTTGTGTTACGCGGTATATGGCATACATTCAGGGTTGTGCGGTAATTGTGATACAGGTGAATATGCCATACTCACCTGCGGTATATGGCATATTCCGCAGGTGAGTATGCGATATTCCGCAGTGAATATGCGATACATTGATTTCAGTGAATACCCGATACTCACTTGCGGAAGTCATACTCACTTGCGGAATATGCCATACACCACAGGTGAATATGACATATACTGCAGGTGAAAACGTGATACAGAAAGCCTTGATTTAAATGGTTGCGAGAATCGACTATAAATGTAAAACTACGCTGGATTACCAATATAGTTAGTGCGTCGAGTATTTATATATGAATCCTGGGTTGATTGAGTAAGTTTATTACGCTAGATTGGTGACTGATACTTCTGCTAAGTTAATATATTCGATACACAGTTCTGTTGATTCAGTAATCACTATAATAATTTATAACGTTTTACTTGTTCGTTCAATCGATGCAATTGACAATTGCGCACTTCCGTATCACGTTCTCATTGGTTAGTGTGTATGCCATATACCGCAGGTGAATCTGTCATACACAGCAAGTGAATATGCCATATTCGTTGCGGAATATGACATATTTTTGTATCGTGTTTACCGCGTAACACGTTGATGACCAGTGATGGCAATTAAGCGTCCACTGTTGTGATTGATGAGATGTGATAAGTTTTATGAAATGTTTCCATGCTTATTTCTCCCAAAATGATGAACATATTATGTGCTTAATGTCAAAGGTTACATGAGTCTTAGATTTTTAAGAGAATGTGTACTCTTTTAACAAATGATTTCTGTTACCATAGCAACCAAATTACCAACATTGAGGCACTTGTTATACTGGTAGGACATATAAACAGATGATTACCCGTAAATATCAAGATGATTGATTGAATATTCTAGGAATTATACATGGCTTTCATAGTATCCCCTTAATGTGCACTTTTTAACAATTTATTTCTGTTACCAGAGCAACCAATTGACCAACATTGATGGCACTTGTCATACTGGTAGGACATGATAAGCAGATGATTACCTGTAAATATCAAGATGATTGATTAAATATTCTGGGAATTATACATAGTACCCCCTTGATGTGCAATTTTGAAGAAATGATTTCTGTTTCCATAGCAACCAATTGACCAAAATTGATGGCACTTGTCATACTGGTCAGACATGATAAGCAGATGATTACCCATAAATATCAAGATGATTAATTGAATATTCCAGGAATTATACATAGTATCTCCTTAATGTGTATTTTTTAATAAATTATTTCTGTTACCATAGCTACCAAGTGTTAAACATTAATGAAACTTGTTATAGTGGTAGTGCATTATAAGTAGTTGATTACCTGTAAATATCAAGATGAATGGCTGTATATTCTAAGAATTATAGATGGCTTTCATTGTACCCCCCTTAAAATCATACCAATGGGGTATAAATCTGTTTACCATAGTAACCAGTTATCCAACACTGATGAAATTTTACATGATAGTCAAACATAATGATGTGAATAATATCTGTTAATTTCAGGACAAATGGTTACTTATTTTCCTCAAAAAGTTGAACACAAATAAAGAATTCTTTGGAAAAGTGCCACATCCCCTTTCTAAATTTACTTGCATTGCCATATAATCATCAGCAATAGATTCCTCTGTGTGGATAAGATAAAACAGCAGTTGATTTAATATTATCAAATATACTTTGAATAAGTTTTCTAAAATGGTTTCATGGTGATTCCTTCCAATTTCATGAAAATAATATGTGTTTTGTCTCATGGGGTATCTTACATTTTGACGAAAATGTGTACTTTTTAACATATGATCTCCATTTCCATAGCAACCAGTTGATCAACTTTAATGAAACTTGTCATAATGGTAGGACATGATAAGTACATGATTACCTGGAAAAATCAAGATGATTGACTCTATATTCTAGGAATGATATACGGCTTTCCAAGTACCCCCCTTAAAATTAAACCAGGGGGGTATAAATCTGAATATTTCCAAAACGCTGAAAAACTACAGGGTGTCCCATAACTCATGAGAATTTTTTGAGGGAGATATTAGGCATGGGTGATTTTTCTTTAAATTTGATACACTTATTAAACACACATTGAGGAATAACTGACATGAATTTCAGGCACATATCTTTTATATTTCCGAATTTATTGACATTTGAATTCTACATTGCCACAAACCCTGGAGTAGTCAGAGAAATACAACAATTTACGTCACATTTTGATAATATTTACACAACTTCTCTACTCTAATAGCATTGTTTTCATTGAATTATTTCAGTGTTTCAGTACATTAGTTAATAGGATCATACACATTCAGCTAACGTATCTCTACAGAGTTATTATAGCATATTATCTGCAGTTGATGTCGTCTTTTTAGCTACTCTTTATACACATTCCCAAATCGTCCAATAGCCATTTCTGTAGGGTTCTCTGAAACAATATGACTCAATTCATCCTCCGTTTCAGTGACATGGCTCACTAATCTTTGTTTAAGGTTCCCAAAGAAATCAAAAGTCTAGAAGAGCAAAATCTGGCAAGTATATGGAGCTACTATATACTGTGAAGTCTCAATAGAAAGTAAATTGGATGCACTACTGACATGCATGTAGTGACTTATTCACTGGTGCATTGTCAATATGCAAGATCATATTGGCTAGCAAATGGGGACATTTCTTTCAGTCCCTCAGGAACAAGTCATAATGATCTTTTAGCAAACCAAATGTACAATCTGTTGATGTATTGGGTCTCTATCAAAGTTTATACATTGTTTGATCAAAGTGCATCATCAATATGAGAAAAATCCTGAACTAAGCTCATACAAAAAACTTTGGTTTTATAGTTGAGAATTTGTATAAAATTGACAAAAAGTGACATAAACTGTTGTATTTTCCCGATAACTCCGGGGTTTGTGGCGATGTAGAATTCAAATGTCAATAAATTCGGAAATATAAAAGATATGTGCCTGAAATTCATGTCAGTTATTCCCCAAAGTGTGTTTAAGAAACGATACTTTGAAGAAAAATCACCCATGCCTTATATCTCCCTCAAAAAATTCTCATGAGTTCTGGGACACCCTGTAGACACCAATAATTTCAGAATCAATGTATAATAATAAACCACAAATAACCTATATGAAGAGAAATTTGCTACTTTTCAAAACCACTTTTACACCACGCTCATCCAGTAAAATGTGTGACAATCTATACTATAGCTGTAGCAGGCAGGGGTGTTTATACGACCTCAAACCCTAAATTTGAGTATAATATAGCCATACTTTACTTTGAAAAGATCAGAAAATTATTGCGAAATTCCAACATAAGACGGCCATTTTGAATTTTGAGTCCCAAGTTAGAAAACGATACAAAGTTTGCAATCTATTCTAAATTGGCTTTCATTTGAGTATAATAAACCTATACTTTAGAAAGATCTCAAAATTAACGCAAATTTCTGTTTTCCTGACACGGCCCCTGGGGGTCAGGCGGAAAAACTTGGAATATATGTTACATAGATAGATGTTTTGAATATACAGATATACTATCAAAATTTCAAACAATAATATTCATTCCTTTGGTTTAAAATGAAAAACTAAAGATTTTTGCCAAATATTCCCGCCATTTCTAAAGAGGCAGCCATCTTGAAAAAAAAATTATTTGCCTAAAACTATTGACTAATATACATCCTTCCACTAATTTAGAAGCAAATCCATCCTCTAGTATTTGAGTTTCACGATATCCCTACCGAACTTCGTTTGTTGGGATAATTACCATGCCAAAAATTATTCTTCATAATCAATCAAAAAAAGTTACTGCAAATTCCAACATTGGATGGCCTTTTCGGATTTTTAAGGCTTGAATCTGAATAAAACAATACAATATTTGGAATCTGCTGTAAAATGCCTTTGATTTGGGTATAATAAAGTCATACTTTAGAGAGATCTCAAAACCAACAAAAAATCGGCTTGACAAATAAGACAAACTGGAGATTTAAAAAATATATTACATTTATTATAATTTTCATTTCACAACATTAATTAAGTCAGGCTTGGCCTTACTGCTGATGTTCACTCTGAGGAACAAAGAAATATCTTCAAACTACTGTAGTAATTTGAGGAATATTTCAATATTCATGCAGAACACGACACTCTTTAATTCTCAGTATTCGGACTGCAACGTCATATAGACCAACAATTCATAATATTAATATTTGCTCCAAGTAATCACACCATATCCATTGGCATTATCCACCTATTAACCAACTTACTAATCATTAATAAATAGAGTAATTCATCATTTATACGCATCATGGTGGTTGCTTCACATCTTCACTGTCTTTGTGTTTTAAATGTAATAATGGTCATAATCATTTCATTTCTTTCCTCTCCCATTTGATTTGTGAAGATGTTCAGAAACATAAGATATGCATGGTTTATTACACCCTGGGTTCTTTAGGGAACACAAATTCATAACTTCTTAAATGAATGTCAGATCTTTTGAGATAAAGGCCCCCAAATTGTGAAATATAACTGAGGATCTAATAACTTCTAAAAATTTCTTGTCATTTAGTAATTTTGGAAATAATTTCAATAAAGGAACTCTGTGAAATGTGTTATAAGTAGGAGGGGAGGGGTATTATAAGAGAAGGAAATGTGAGGCAAACATGATCTTAACTCTTCTTATTATTGGGAGAAGAAAAGGTGACCACATAGGCATTCATTGAAAATCCATTACTGCATGATTGTTTGTCTTTCAACTAACTTCCGAAACATTCCATCCTCTATTGCCATTAAATCTGTGTACGAGCCAATCTCTATGACTTTGCCATCATCCAGTACAGCTATGTTGTGAGCGTTCTTGATGGTAGAGAGTCTGTGGGCAATAGTGATGACAGTGCGTCCTACCATCAGCCTCTCCAGGGCCTCCTGCACTAAATGTTCACTCTCAGCATCCAATGCACTGAAGGGAGATATTTATAAAACATATTATTGTAGAAGTGCTTATTAAAAACTGATGTTTATTTTCTGAGTTTCCCTCCATTTATATGGTGACCGTATTTGGCTTAATTGTCATACACAGTTTAGGCCAGGTAGATATAAGTATCACAATAATAGAAAATTTTTCCCAAGAGACAATATCTTCTCAATATCTTCTTTGGTATTTCTGGAACTATTCCACACAGACTCACTCCTCAAAAATTGAAAAAACATTATCGTCAACTCAACAGGTCTGTAGACAGTGATAGACAGGATGGTTCTTTCAAAGAAATAATTTTCAAAATCATGTAGTTTTCACCATTTTGAGCACCTTTCAAGTGATTTTGGGGCAAAATTGTCAAATTTGAACCCCCCTGGAGATTTGGCAAACACTGGCTACTGCTTAAAGTTTTTCTACAACCAAATTCAGCCTTTGCATCAATAATATAATTGGTTTTGCAAATAACGTATACAGTATACAATGATGCTCTTCCATAATTTTACAGAAAGACTAACTTTGGCAATTATTCAAACAGGGAAAATAGAGGGCAATCATTTCTTTACACTGACTTCTAAATGTACATGTCACTTAATTAGAGACAATAAGATGGTGGGACAAGAGTATATATTTGATATTTACCTTGTAGCCTCATCTAACAGAAGAATCTTTGGATTCTGGAAAAGAAGGGATAAATCATAATATAAGCTTACAATTCTAGAGACAAGGCATTAACATGACAAAATGTCACCACCTAAAACAATTTGGTCAATTTAAAGCAAGTTGGAAAATACCTTTTGACCTTAAGAAGGTTTTTGAAGATTTGAGCTTCTGGGATCTTGTAGATGATTTTGAAAAAAGAAATTGTTCAATCTGAAGCAAGTTAAAACAAGTTGAAAAAAGACCTTTTTGACCTTGAAAAGGTCATTGAAGGTCAAATGTTAAATCTAAAGTCAGATTTGAACTTCTGAGAACATGTAGATGATTTTGAAAAAAAAATTAGTCAATTTGAAGCAAGTTGAAAAAAGACCTTTTTGACCTTGAGAAGGTCATTGAAGGTCAAAGGTCAAATCTAAAGTCAGATTTGAACTTCTGAGAACTTGTAACGTCAAATTTGAACTTCTGAAAAGATGTAGATGATTTTGAAAAAAAAATTTGGTCAATTTGAAGCAAGTTGAAAACAGACCTTTTTGACCTTTTTTGACCTTGAGAAGGTCATTAAAGGTCAAATGTCAAATCTAAAGTCAGATTTGAATTTCTGAGAACATGTAGATGATTTTGAAAAAAAAAATTAGTCAATTTGAAGCAAGTTGAAAAAAGACCTTTTTTGACCTTGAGAAGGTCATTGAAGGTCAAATGTCAAATCTAAAGTCAAATCTAAAGTCATATTTGAATTTCTGAGAACATGTAGATGATTTTGAAAAAAAATTTAGTCAATTTGAAGCAAGATGAAAAAATACCTTTTTGACCTTTTTTGACATTGAGAAGGTCATTGAAGGTCAAATGTCAAATCTAAAGTCAGATTTGAATTTCTGAGAACATGTAGATGATTTTGAAAAAAAAAATTTAGTCAATTTGAAGCAAGTTGAAAAAAGACCTTTTTGACCTTTTTTGACTTTGAGAAGGTCATTGAAGGTCAAATGTCAAATCTTAAGTCAAATCTAAAGTCAGATTTGAATTTCTGAGAACACGTAGATGATTTTGAAAAAAAAATTTAGTCAATTTGAAGCAAGTTGAAAACAGACCTTTTTGACCTTTTTTGACCTTGAGAAGGTCATTGAAGGTAAAATGTTAAATCAAAAGTCAGATTTGAAGGTCAAATGTCAAATCTAAAGTCAGATTTGAATTTCTGAGAACATGTAGATGATTTTGAAAAAAAATTTAGTCAATGTGAAGCAAGTTGAAAAAAGACCTTTTTGACCTTGAGAAGGTCATTGAAGGTGAAATGTCAAATCTAAAGTCAGATTTGAACTTCTGAGAACATGCAGATGATTTAGAAAAAAATTGAAGTCAGTCTAAACAGTATTTGTTAAGTTATAGGAAGTTGTAAGAAATTGTTACAGACGCCGGACGCCGGACGCCAGCGCAAAAAAACGGAGACCATAACAATATGTCACCACTTTTGGTGGTGACATAATAAACCAAGTATGATAATTTAACATATGATTAATGATAACTAAGGATGATAATTAATTAATATAATTCATTATAAACCAAGGATGATAATAGTTAATGAAAACACAGAATGAAATCCTGTGCTAAGGGCTGATGTGAAAAAGTCAGTCCACCCCAGTGGGGTTCGAACCCACGACCCCTCGCTTTCCGGGCAAGTGCTCTACCACTGAGCTACAGGACCGACTGGCTTTTCCACATCAACATTGCATATACAGCATTGCAGCCATGTCTTACATGCCCAGTTTCCTGGACCCCATATAAGTTACCTGTCTTTCCAGGTTGTCAATCACTCTATTCATGATGTCACGTGGAGTTTCCCACGGGCCATTCCCCCTAAGGAGAAGTAGTATTAGTTAATGAAAACACAGAATGAAATCCTGTGCTAAGGGCTGATGTGAAAAAGTCAGTCCACCCCAGTGGGGATCGAACCCACGACCCCTCGCTTTCCGGGCAAGTGCTCTACCACTGAGCTACAGGACCGACTGGCTTTTCCACATCAACATTGCATATACAGCATTGCAGCCATGTCTTACATGCCCAGTTTCCTGGACCCCATATAAGTTACCTGTCTTTCCAGGTTGTCAATCACTCTATTCATGATGTCACGTGGACTTTCCCACGGGCCATTCCCCCTAAGGAGAAGTAGTATTAGTTAATGAAAACACAGAATGAAATCCTGTGCTAAGGGCTGATGTGAAAAAGTCAGTCCACCCCAGTGGGGATCGAACCCACGACCCCTCGCTTTCCGGGCAAGTGCTCTACCACTGAGCTACAGGACCGACTGGCTTTTCCACATCAACATTGCATATACATCATTGCAGCCATGTCTTACATGCCCAGTTTCCTGGACCCCATTTAAGTTACCTGTCTTTCCAGGTTGTCAATCACTCTATTCATGATGTCACGTGGACTTTCCCACGGGCCATTCCCCCTAAGGAGAAGTAGTATTAGTTAATGAAAACACAGAAATTAAACTTGTAAAGAAACAATAATAGAGGGTTTTTAGTCAAACTTATACTGCAACTTTTTTTTAGATGACATAAACACAATTGGGGAGGAAGGTTTCTCAAAGAAACCAGGAAAGTACATTTCATTAGAAAAATGTTCCTCATTTCCCTACAAAGGGAATTGATTTGTGAATATTCGAGCAATGGCAGGTAGAATTTATTTCTAAGTTGTAATCATATGTTGAAGCCAGAACTCACAAACTACAAACTTGCAAAATATTTTGTTGTGATTTGAAGGATGAAAGCACCCTATCTTCATTTCCAGAGTTCCTCCCAAATGCTATACCTGACTTGCACAAGTACAAGTATGAGTATACAAGTTTGCGTATACATATTTCTTTTTGCTGCAGAGGGGGGGTGCCATTGTTTTTTGACACCCTGAACATATTCCAAATAACTTTTATCGTAAGCTCTCTAATTTTGAAAAACTTATTCTCACCTTTAAAATAGCCCTTGCTAATGCAATTCTCTGTCGTTGGCCACCTGAAACAGTCAAATAAATGAATAAACATGTGGACACTATTGGCAGATCTTGATCACAAACAGAATATAGAAATAACAAGGAACAATGACTATATAATGACAGATAACCTCTGTAAATGCCAATAATTTCATACTTTACACCTACCTGAAAGCATGACGCCACGCTCCCCAACCATAGTATTAAATTTCTCTGGGAATGCCTCTATGAAGTTGAGTGAATTTGACTGTTTAGCTGCGTATTGGATCTCATCGAATGTTACATCCTCAGGGTGGTTACTGCCATAGCGGATATTGTCAGCTATAGAGCTTGAGAACAGAATGGGTTCCTGCAACATAAATGTTACTGGTACTCATATTGATCGCCAGGTTGTTTTGTTTAAACTGTATAAGAATATGAGATATGGATATTGACAGAACAAAGAGAGGACCTAGAGTGCACCAGGAAAGCACCTAGAGTGCACCAGGAACCTAGAGTGCACCAGGAGAGCACCTAGAATGCACCAGGAAAGCACCTAGAGTGCACCAGGAAAGCATCTAGAGTGCACCAGGAAAGCACCTAAAGTGCAAAAAGTGTTCACGGAGAATACATAAATGATAAAATAGAGCACCTTTATTAAGGAAACCACCAGAAAGCACCAAGGCCACAGATGGAGAGCACCTAAATTGCAAATGGAGTGCATATAAAACAGAGCACCAAATTTAAGAGAACCACCAGAAAGCACCAAGAGTACACATGGAGAGCACCTAAAATGCACATGGAGAACACATAAAATAGAGCACCTTATTAAGAAAACCACCAGAAAGCACCAAGAGTATACATTGAGAGCATCTAAAGTGCACATGGAGAACACATAAAATAGAGCACCAAATTTAAGAGAACCACCAGAAAGCACCAAGAGTACACCTGTACACATGGAGAGCACCTAAGGTGCACACAGAGAGCATAATACTAAAACAGAGCAGCTAAGTTAATTAATAGAACCACCAGAAAGCACCAAAACCACACATGGAGAGCACCTACCTGACTAACTGTACCTATGTTACTACGCAACCAGGAAGGACTAAGAGAGTTCACATCCTTCCCATCCAGCTGTATCATACCTAACAAACAACAATAGCAATTGTATTTTACTCTATGAGCAAGTCAAACGCACTATAAGGGGATCCGATTGAGACATCATGATAAGGTTAAATGGGCAACTTAAGCCATGGTTTTAACTTGAAATTGAGAATTTGCATAAACTGTAGGTGCCAGCTGAAAAACATTTGATGTTTTTCCATTAAAAATTGATAGTAAAACTGATTTTCATTTTTCTATGTACACATAAATTGTATTATTTAATAACCAATAATATTAAAAAGTTGAAGAGTTTTCTCTAACAATTTTACAGGCAATTCATTGTACATATACACTGGCGGATTAGGGGGGGGGGCCTGGGGGCCCGGGCCCCCCCCCCTTGGGTGGGCCCAGAAAAAAAAAATTGGGCCCAAAAAAAATGTTGGGCCAAAAAAGGCCTTCAGGCCCCAAAAAGTGGGCCTTTTTGGTCACTACTGGGCCTTTTAAGGCCTTATTTTTTAATTTCAGGCCAAATTTTGAAGAAAATGGGCCTCAAAATTTCAAAATTTGGGCCCACTTTTGGGTAATAGGGGCCCAAAAATTTTTTCCGCGCAAGCGCGGACGTTTTTTTCTATGACTTGAAATTTGGGCCCCCCCCTTGTTCATTCCCAGATCCGCCCCTGATATATTATATGTATACATTTTAAAACAAATAATTATTCATCATATCTCATCTCCTCCATCCTGTTCAACTTATTATCATATCAAAAGCACATGTAAGATATGGTATTAACCAGTCGACCTACCCGAATTCGGATCATAAAATCTGAGAATCAGAGAAGCTATAGTAGACTTTCCAGAGCCACTAGGACCAACTACTGCTAGTATTTTCCCTGCAGGTACAGAGAGATTCAGGTCCTCAAGTATAGGGATGTCCGACCTAGCTGGGTAACTAAATGAGACGTTCTGGAATTGGATCCCACCCTGTACTTCTGTAGAGGGACTGTAGCCAGCTGAAAACAGTACATGTACAGGGCGTTCAGTAAGTAAAGCTAATTTTGCTCTCAAACTTTTATTTTTTGTCATTTATCTTTCAAATTTTCAGTGAAGAAGCATTTGACATTTTTCTAACTACCCTGAAAAATTGGATAAGATATGATGAATAATAGCAAAACAATGGTTGTCATAGTAACGTGAATACGGGTTCTGCGGAGCAATTTCTTACTTTAATAAAAATGTTATAATGCAATGAAATTGATTAAGATTAATGCTGCATATGTCTTTGTTTGCTATAGCTGAAAGTCACGACAAGCATAACAACAACATACACAAATATGATACCATGGCAACAGTAGTCTATGACATCACAGACAGATGATACAACAGATGGAATGATCCAGAATGATCCATCAGACACTGCTCCATGACATCATCAAAATCATGGCTGCCAGGATTGCCAATGGAAGCAAAATGAACAATGAAATGAAACAACAATTGAGAACTAGCATCAGATACAATGTGTTGCTAGGGAAATCTAAGCAGGATACCATTAGGGATATCCAAAAAGCATATGGGGACAGTGTGCCTAAGTACACAATCTACAAATGGTATCAGAAATCCCAAAAGGGGAGAAAAACAACAAGTGATGAGCCAAGGTCAGGGAGGCCAAAACTTCTAACCAAAGAGGCTAACATGAATCATTTGAGGCAATTGTTAGATGAAGACCGCAGTATAACTGTAAGGGAACTCTCAGAACTAACCAATATCAGCCTAGGATGGGTACGTTATCTGATTCACAATTCTCTAAATATGTCTTTGGTGTCTGCAAAATGGGTAGTAGCCACAGAACTATGGTTGAAATATAGACAGGACAGAAACTAACGTTAACAAAATCTACTATGCTGTGAACTTATAAAATTGCTCCGCAGAACCCGTATTTGCGTTACTATGACAACCACCATTTTGCTGTTATTCATTATATCTTGATCATTTTTCAGGATAGTTAGAAAAGTGTCTGATGCTTCTCCACTGAAAATTTGAACGATGATAGACAAGAAATAAAAGTTTGAGAGCAAAATTAGCTTTACTTACTGAACGCCCTGTACTTCATTTCAGAAATATACAATTTATACAGAGATCCATTAGTGTGGATAAATGGACACCAATCTTACTATTTGGTTAAAATCCTATAAACAAAGTGTTCCAAATGTGTAAGCACACACATGCATGTATCCGGAACACTCTGTAAGAAGGTAATATATGCTTACCTGTTAAAGGAATAGCTGGGGCCCTATCTATAAGTTCCCATAGACGAGTACTGGCTCCAAGACCTTTCATCAACTCCGAATAGAAGGAAGTCAGGCCTATACATGGAAAATGTAATCAATGAAACACAATTATGGTAAAGGGAGTATTATAACATCATTATGTTAATCTTCATATGACATATTTAAAATATTAGTGTGAGATTTAAACTTAATGGGTTTTAAAGTTGTCCGCATTGCCATTTCATAGTCCTTTTAATGCGATGTTTCATTCATCATCTTTTTCATAGTGCCTTTAATGAATGTCCTGTCTGCGAGTAATTCATAGTGTCTTTAAAATTAATTGTCAATATCTAATATTATGAGCCTTTATATAACCATTAAGCCATCAAATCAGATAATAAGGCACTTACATGACAAAATGTCACAACTTAGTTGCAATTACAAGTTTTTGCGATTCATTACAGGCATTAACACTGACATTGAATGATGGTCATAAAATGGTAGCTAGAACACTTTCATTTCTTGGTGGTGACATACAAAAACAATTATTTACCTCCCATAGCCACACCCACATAGGCAGCATAGAGTAAGAAGGCTGAGAGGTCACCCACACTAAGTGCTGACTCATTCATCATTAGACCTCCATTGTAGAAAACTGTGAGAACTATCAAGTTGCCAGCAAGCCCAGTCTAAAAATAAGCAGATAGAAATTGAAACATTAGTAATACTTTAACTACGGCACTGACAAATGGAATAGTAATGGTCCGCCAGTGGTTTGACAGAATTTACTTTATATCTCTATGATATACTGTGTCAACATAATTTGGCGATTAGGGCAAAATTGGAAAATTGGTGGAGAGTTAATTTGGTGAATTTAGCAAGAATAAATGGCTGTGAAATTGGCAATTCACCAAAATAAATTGGTCACCAAATTAAGTTGACTAATAGTATGGATGATTTCTGAATCAAAGAAATACTTACAAAACCAAAGAATACTCCTCTTGCCAGTGCATCTTTGTATGACAACTGTAATACATCTTCTATCTTTCCAGTATAAGTGGCAATCTCTCGATCTTCCTTGGCAAATGCTCGCACCGTGCGAACGTTACTTATTCGTTCTTCAGCAATCTATAAAACATAGAAAAACATACCATAATGTACAACAGATGCTATAGTACTAGGTAGTTTACTTTAATCCTGATGTTCAAAATGATAACTTTTGTATGGAACATGATTCAGGAGTTCAAAATTATCACTCTTCAATTTAATACATGTTAACAGAGGTACCAAAAGTGCTCCGTAACACAATACTGAATACTATACTATTTTTGTTAAGGTTATGTTAGTGATACAATGGTAAAATAAAAATGTATCTTATAACAACAATACGAGGGGTGATCAATAAGTAATGGACACTTTTTTACATGGATGCTTATTTTAGGCCAAAACCTTCCATTTTCTTACCAGTGATACATCATTCAATTATCTATCAACTCTGAAGATTTGAAAGCAAAACATGTAATATATTTTGATATATCCTTATTTCCGTGAAGGAGGTATAGGTACCCGGGACCGACATGACGTCAAACATTCTGAAGCAATTTTAGCTTGTTTAACATGCAACGCAGTTGAATGCAGGCTGAACAAAACAAACCATTATGGTCATGAATTACCCCATTTTGTTATGCCATAGTTGATTTTGAATATTTCATCATCACTATGTGATATTCATGCCACATTAATTCTACAGGGCCCTCTACAGTGTGTCCCAAAAAAAGGAAACCAGCAATAGATTGCTTATTTCTCAAAAATGAATAATAATAGGAAAATTTCACAGCTACCATCTGATAGGTTATGATGTCCTTTTTCTTATGATACCAAAGATGTTTATTTTTCTTCACGGATGACTGAGTTCTAAGAGATTTAAGTGACCGTGTCAGAAATTGGTTTGTGCCACTTTTTCTGTCATGAATGGCTGAACAATGAGGGATTAAAATGGCTATGCAAGACCATGCCCTATTCGAAATACACATTTCTGAACAAGCATTCAACATAGCAAATTCATGCAGCTGACCCAAGATCAAAGAGTATTCGTAGTAAGTGAGTGGCTCAGAAGTGGGAGCCTTCAGCAGGTTGCTGATCAGTTTAGAGTACGCTTCCCAGATAGAAATGTACCTGCTAAGTCGACAATCTGGAAGAATATCAAGAAGTATCAGAGAGAAGGAACAAGTCTCAATCTCGACAAGGGACGTTCTGGAAGAAGACGAACAGCTCGGTCTGATGAAAACATCAGGATTGTCGCAGCAGTGGAGGATCTAAGGGGACAGACAGACATCATCAGGGATGCAGTACGTGCGATGAGATCAAGGGCAGACATTTGCATTGAAAGGAATGGGGGTCATGTTGAAGGATACTGGGGTTAAAACAACTTTGAATGGACATTGGGATTTAAAAGGGGTGTTAAATATGATATGTGTAATTTTAATTGGAATAAATGAGTAAAAGAGTGATATCCTGATGTTTGTTGTTACTTATCACTTTGTTATGATGGTGAAATTGACTTGGCTGAAAGTGGTACAAACTCATTTCTGACATGGTCACTTAAATCCCTTATTACTCAGTCATCCGTGAAGGAAAATAGACAACTTTGGTATCATAAGAAAGAGGACATCATAATCTATCAGATGGTAGCTAAGAAATTTTCCTATCAGTATTCATATTTGAGAAATAAGCAATCTATTGCTGGTTTCCTTTTTTTTGGGACACCCTGTACATAGGTTCCATCAAGTGCTACATGTACACAATTCCTCATCCTCTTACTCAAGATTGTGAGACAAGGCTGAATCCATTCTCTGACATGGTAGCAAGATGCAGTTTGCACAGGTTGTTTTAATTCATCAATGTCAATAAACTTGCGTCCCTTCTCTATAGAAATAAGTAGTATAGGAATACACAAGTCACATGTGGGCAGATTTAAGCGGATCTTGACAATATGGTGCACTGGCCAAGGGCTCAATTTTGAGGTCCAGGGATTTGTTTTCTGAACATTTTGAGATCTGTGGGCAGGTGCAAATGTCCATATGGAGTATAGGGTGTTCCCTTCTCTCACCAAACCCTTCTTCCACAATGCTTCCTCAAATTGGCCTGCAAACCCCGACCATACAACACTCTGACATCACAATACTGTTTGTGTGTTACCAGTCAGCAAAATATTTCAAACAACACTTGTATCATATGAAAAAGTTTAAACCTAACTGAAATTTGCCAAACTGGCTAAAAACTGAATATGTGACGTAAATGTCGGTTCCGGGGTACCTGTACTTCCTTCACGGAAATAAGGATATATCAACATGCATTATATATTTTGTCTTCAAATCTTCAGAATTGACAGATAATTGAATGATGTATCACTGGTAGGAAAATCAAAGGGATTGGTCTTTAAAAAGTATCTCTGTAAAAAAGCGTCCATTACTTATTGATCACCCCTCGTATAATATGAATAATAATTCTAGTGTGAAATCAAAACTTGTTCTGATGACTTAAAAGTGTAGGGAAATATCGCAAATAATGACGTAACTATTTACCTCTGTTGACTTTGCAAGAGCATCTTGAACTTGTTTAGTGATTGATCTTAAATAGCGGCCATAAAAAATTGCAACCACTGCTACTGCTGGAACCACTGTCAATCCAATTGTTGCCAACTTTGGTGATACATAAAACTGCAAAATAAATAAAAATTTCAGAAGGACAGAAATGAAGGTGTGCCTTGTCCTAATTTGTAACCTGCTCACGGCACTCCATGTAATATATACTCCATAATGCTTATTTTCATATTTGATGAGGTATCTTACAGCTTTTTCCAGGTGTCATTAATTGGAATGGTAAAGAATACATTGTCATTTTTATTGAAAAGGTCCAACATTTTTCTTTCTAAATTCACTGACATTTTAAATATCAAGTGTTCTCAGCTTTACATCCTAAAAAATTAGTACCGTGGGTACTGGGCTCACATGGTGTTGCTCAAAAGTGAAAATAAAAAAGACGGGTATAATTTTTTGCAGATTTTTTGTGACAAAATTATTTCATACAACTACTCTTTACAAAGACATGGCTTTTTACAATGCAGGACACCTGAACTTATTTGTAAAGCTAGGAAATGGGCCAAAAGTGAATTTCCCGAGACAAAAATGGTGGCCATTTTGAAATTAGGCGAGATTTTGAAATAGGAGTCACAGGTTTTTTTTCTTTATTGATGTTGAACAAAATTATTTTAAATCGGGAATCCTATCTACAGAGGATTTAAAAAGTGTTGACAGAGGTTTAAAACTTGCCACTTTTTTGGACTGACTGAGAGACAGATGGACGAATCAATGTTAACTAAAATGGCTGAAAAAAAAAAAAACTGATATAATATTTTGCCGACTTTTTGTAACAAAATTATTTCATACAACTACTCTTTACAGTGACATGGCTTTTTACAATGCAGGACAGCTGAAATTATTTGTAAAGCTAGGAAATGGGCCAAAAGTGAATTTCGCGAGACAAGAATGGTGACCATTTTGAAAATAGGCGAGCTTTTGAACCAAGAGTCATAGGAGAGTTTTTTGTATTGATGTTGAACAAAATTAACTTAAAACAGGAATCCTATTGACAGAGGGTTTAAGGAAAATGGTCCAAAAGTGGATTTTGCGAGACAGATGGACAAATCAATGTTAACTAAAATGGCTGAAAATAAAAATGGCTTTTTACAATGCAGGACAGCTGAAATTATTTGTAAAGCTAGGAAATGGGCCAAAAGTGAATTTCGCGAGACAAGAATGGTGACCATTTTGAAAATAGGCGAGCTTTTGAACCAGGAGTCAAAGGGGAGTTTTCTGTATTGATGTTGAACAGAAATAACTTAAAACAGGAATCCTATTGACAGAGGTTTTTAAACGTGCCACTATTGTTGACGGACAGACAGACATACAGACGGATGTTAACTAAAATGGCTGAAAATAAAAAAAATGGATATAATTTTTTGCTGATTTTTCGTAACAAAATTATTTCATACATCTACTCTTTACATTGACATGGATTTTTACAATGTAGGACACTTGAAATTATTTGTAAAGCTAGGAAATAGGTCAAAAGTGAATTTTGCGAGACAAAAATGGCGGCCATTTTGAAAATAGGCGAGCTTTTAAGCCAGGAGTCATAGGGTAGTTTTCTGTATTGATGTTGATCAGAAATAACTTAAAACAAGAATCCTATCGACAGAGGTTTTAAAACGTGCCACTGTTGTTGACGGAAAAGTGGATTTCACAAGTCAGATGGACAAATCAATGTTAACTAAAATGGCTGAAAATAAAAAAATAGATATAATTTTTCGCTGATTTTTTGTAACAAAATTATTTCATATATCTACTCTTTACAATGACACAGATTTTTACAATGTAGGACACCTGAAATTATTTGTAAAGCTAGGAAATGGGTCAAAAGTGAATTTCGCGAGACAAAAATGGCGGCCATTTTGAAAATAGGCGAGCTTTTGAACCAGGAGTCATAGGGGAGTTTTCTGTATTGATGTTGAACAGAAATAACTTAAAACAGGAATCCTATCGACAGAGGTTTTAAAACGTGCCAGTCAAAAGTGAATTTCGCGAGACAAAAATGGCGGCCATTTTGAAATTAGGCGAGCTTTTTAACCAGGAGTCATAGGGGAGTTTTCTGTATTGATGTTGAACAGAAATAACTTAAAACAGGAATCCTATCGACAGAGGTTTTTAAACGTGCCACTATTGTTGACGGACGGACAGACAGACGGATGGACGGACGGACGGACGGACAGACAGACGGACAAGTGAGCGATTGCAAAAGCTCACCATGTGAGCTAATAACTAGGACACCACTAGAATTGATATTTTTCTCACCTATTACTTATCAAAGTTAAAAATATATTTCAAACCAACAATGCTTCAGAATACAAAAGTGGCACCATTCAGTATACTCACATGTGAAAAATTTCTCAAAAATAAGTAGTCGGCATGAATGGTGTAAAATATGAGCACTGATCAAAATGAATGACAGTTTTAATATCCGACCTTGATTATCTTGAACTGTCATGTTTCTCATTCTGTGATTGGTTAATTACAGGTCACTTAACAAAACATATATACACAGTGATGCTTATACGTATGGTACTTGATTTACGAGTACTCACCATCATTCCTATACCACCTACACCCTGGGCAAATGATCGGAGGCCATCTGAGATGTTCATGGTGACTGACTGGCCAACCAAAGTTGTATCTGTGGATAAACGATTTATCAACTCTCCTGTCCTGGTTTTATCGAAGAAAGCCACCTCTTGGGCCATTATCGAACCAAAGATCTTTTCCCTGAGAGTTTTCACGATTCTTTGTCCTGAAAATTAATATGTTCAATTAGATTTACAATGTGTAGAGTGTCATCCATTACCATTGACTTGATCTTAATCTTTAAGTCAACAAAAGTCTCTACATTGTTAAGGATAATAATACTCTTTTATATATGGTTATTTTCAATGATAAAATTGCCATTCGATAACTGATACATCTGTCAGCTGTCACAAGGTGTGTGACAGCACATATTGGAATGAACACTTTACTATATTGCAAGTGAGATGCAAATATGAGGCTGCTATTGTAACAGCCATTTGACTGCCATTTGGTGAGGGTGACACAATATGAACAAAAAATCATCGGCAATTTTGCACTTAAACTTACCAGAGGTAGACATGAGATATACCCTGCCTGCATTTGCTACTGCACCAACTAGGAACACTCCCACAAGCACTTGACAAAAAGAAGTCAGCTTCTCTACCATATTCCCATCTTTACCACTGTCATATATTATGTCTATAACTTTTCCAATACAAAATGGTACTGCCATTGTGACACCACTTGAGATTACCAGCAATCCAACAGCACCTAGAACAATTCATTGATTTATTTCAATATGTAATAACACATTCTCTTTAAAGTACTTTATTTCTATAAGAGGGACAACTGCAAATATACTAGGGATTTTTTTATACGTCACTGGTTTCAATAATGCATAACTGTCAATTCGAACATGACTGTATCTAGGCCTTCTATAAACTGTAAACAAAGTCAATATTTCACCCATTATCTATTCCTCGATATTGGTCTATATGTCTATTGGTTAACCAGAATTAGGAAATGAAGAGTGAAATGAATGACGATTTTGCAATATTTTGGTTAGTTTTCATATTCGAATCATAATATGGACCTCAGATCAGGTGTTATATCGATGAATAGGGCTAGGCACAAAAGCTTTTGAAAACAAAAAAATGTTTGCGCCGTACCCTGCGGTATTCATTTATTGTTATAACACCTGTTCTATATTTCTTAAATATAAGCTATACTCCTAGTAATTTTAATTAGGAGTTGTACATCTAGGCCTGTTACCTTATCAGCATTACACATAAGATTAAAAGAAATAAGGACCTTTCAAGGGAAATAACTTATTTATAATAAGCTTTACCCACAAAGCTTATTTACAAAGAGAAGGTTTGTAATAAAGGTCTATTGAGTATTAAGTGTGCAAGTAACAGGTCATGATGATTTTTCAACAATTTGAGGATTTTAGGATCCGAGTCAGAGAGGTGAAGCTAAATAAATAATCAAAGAGTTGACTACCTTGATAAGAACATGAATATGAGTGTCTGCACGTTTATGGCAAACTTTTATATAAACAATGTCTGCATAGATGACACAAATCTTAATTATAAATGTATTTTACAAGGTTGCTTGAGATAGACATGAAGGGCATTAAAGGTCTACATGGGTGTAATTTCAACACTTTTGAATGATTCCTGGTTCAATAGACTATTATACAAGGAGATTGCCACTACAACAAATACATGGTTTCATCAAATATGATAGCTACCATCTGACCATTTGTAGACTTTAGAAGTATTGTATACACAATGTCTGTAGATATGAAGATTAGGAAAAGAAAACAAATTATATATAAACAAGACGATGGCAATATAGCACTTTTTTTAAGTGTGATAAAAAGTATATACATATTTGGCATTTTGGTGATATATTCTCTCATTCCTTATATAATTAACAGATCGAGACTTTGAATTTCCCATACGATTATATTTTTAGTACATTGTATATATTTAATATACACATAACATAGACAAATGGTTACTATACTCAAAATCTACCATATCCCCCACTTAAGACATGCTCAGGTGTACCACATATCATCTCACCTCCTAGATATGCTAAAGTCTACTAGACATGCTCAAGTCGACCATATATCGCCTACTACTGCTTAAGTCTACCATACAGCCTACAAGGCATGCTCATGCTCTACCATATACTATATCGCCTCGCCTCCTAGACAGGCTCAAGTTTAATGTATGGCCTACTAGATATGCTCAAGTCTACTATATAGCCTAACTAGACATGCTCATATCTACCATATGGTCTACTAAACATGATTGAAAGTCTAGCATGTGGCCAATTGAAATGCCCAAGACAAATCTACATATGTCCCGACATATGTATGGCCTATTGACCCAACTGAACACATTGAAGTCTACAATTTGGATTGTACTAAATACTACCTAGGTGCCCCACACCTAGGTATCCCCATTGAAATGCATTACTGGCATATTTTACTCTTTATTTCAAGATAACATTTTTCCAAGTTTAATATGGTACATAATAAAGTATTTTTTCGTGGAACTTGTGTAAATATTTCTGTTTGTTTATGATTTTTTTTATTGTCTTGAAAATTTTGATCGATGTCGAAAAAGTCATTTGTAAGAATAATATTTCATTATTTGCTCACTATAAAATGCTACAAATTCACTATTTTAGCACCAAGTAAGAACAATATATATATTTCAAATATAAATGCACACTTTAGCATAAATGGTGTTTTATTACTACAAATAAGTAACCATACAAATGAGCAAAATTCCAGGTGCCCATTTTCTAACAATAAAACTTTTTACATTTTATTTTCGAATCTTCTTTGCTATATTCTCGACTACAAATTATTATTTCAAGCCTATTAAATGTCAAGTTAATATGACAAAGGAAATAATACTATATTTAAAATGTATACGTGGTTTATAATGGAATAAGAAATCCAGGTGCCCAAGGGGACACCTAGGTGGTATTTAGTAACACCCTACAATTTGGCCTATTCGACATGCCATGGGCATTCTATCAAATTTACATGTACCATATGGATTAATACTACATGCCATACTAGCCTACATAAAAATGCCCTTACCTCCAAGCCTCAACCATTCTGGCCGAGCAAGAGACAACAATCGTCTCACCTCCCGTTTACTTGGCTTTGATATCTTTCCATTACCCTTTGCAACATTTGATGCATTATCTCCACTTCTGGTTGCATAATTTCTTGAAGGTTGTGCATGAGTCCAAATGTTAGGTCTAGCTTTCGAAGCGATTGCTGGTGATCCACGGAGGCTGATTTTGTTTCTTATACATTTAGTGCATGTATTTGAAGTTACATTTCGAGATATAGGAATTGGTCTAAAGGTTGAAAGAGTCTTCCGTAAGGTTAAAATATTCGATTTGCAATAAATTCTTGAAAATTGCAGACGAAAAAGTGTTTGTGTTGCATAAGACATTGTGTGATCACAACTGAGAGACATCCGCCCGGCTAAAATCTGCTTGCAATTGATTAAGTATATACTAAGACTACATCTGTTTTATTCAGCGCATATGTAAGCCCCAAATTATTTGCTAATCACCTAAAAACACAGTTTCAAAGTCTATACTTTTAAGGGCGCGGCCATCTTTGAAATGCCCGGATAAAGACTTATTTGGTGTGATCATTCTCTGGAGAAGTTGGCACTATATATTTTGCTCCTTGTATTTTGCTGAGAAAAAGGTTTATTCTATGGATATTGCATAAAATTTATTCATCGAATATTTTGATAGTATATTTCTAACATAGTATTCTCTGTGATTTCTAAATGATAACCCTATTAGAGTAACACTGATGGTAAATCAAAATGATCGGTTGATCAAAACTGGGGAATCCCCTTGCAAAAGGGGGGGATCTCCCAAAGTTCATTAGAGACCCGAGCAAAGTACATGAAGTACTCTTGGTGTAAGTATTGGGTCACGCGGCAAACATGTGATATATCCATATAAGGCTTACAGGACCATATTGGAATCTCACAAGAAGGATTGGCTCCCAGAATGCAACATTGATATTCTTTCCAGATATGTGTATGTTGTCCATGGTGTTCAGCAACTGGTATTTTTATGTGTGTATGTAATGAGGCCCATGGTGTTCAGTTCCTGCTGGTATTTTTACGCGTGTATGTGGTCCATCTTGTTCAGCTCCTACTGGTATCTTTATGTGTGTATGAGGTCCATGGTCGGTATTTGTATGTGTGTATGTGGTCCATGGTGTTCAGCTCCTACTGTGTGTATGAGGGCCATGGTGTTCAGCTCCTCCTGGTATCTTTATGTGTGTATGAGGTCCGTGATGTTCAGTTCCTGCTGGTATTTTTATGTTTAAATGAGTTCCACTGTATTCAGCTCCCACTGATATCTTTATTTGCACTGGCTTGTTCAGTGAGGCCTGTTATCAGCCCCATCAGTCAGTCTGTGTGTGTTTCAGGTGAGACAGTTTGTCCAAAGCTCAATAGAGTTTTCTTTCTTTTCTTTCTTTTTAATAGCATATTTGAATTCAGAGAAGTTTTCCACAATAATAACTTTGATTTATACAGGTTGTCATTTAAATCATTTTCCATGACTTTCTAAAATTAAAAAAAACTTGGGCCAAATCTCCATTGATGCAATGGTAAGATTCTTTCAATCCTTGGTTTATTTGTTTAGTAAAAAATAATGTTTAAATTTCTTGTCCGCTGTGATGGAGCAGTTTCAATTGTGAAATTCTTTTCTAATGTGTAGTTGTAAAATAAAAGATATACATGTAGGCCTATTATAAATCTTAAATTCTTAATGTATTTCACATTTGAAACTGCTCCTTCACAGCGAACAAGAAATTTAAAAATTATATATATACATTACTTATTATTATAGCATGAAAAAAGTGAGAACTTTTTTAGTGCTCAGTATGGAGCATCAATAGTCTGATAGTCGGAGGACCCGGAAGTAGTTGAACGAAAACCATGTCTTTGATTCAATTTGAAAGTTCTCGCGCTAAAAAGAAAGATAGAGAGGTATTGAAGAAGGCAAGCCAAGGATAAATTGATAAGGTAACACCAAAAGAACACAAAGAATTGCATTAGATGTTTTACTTTTATCAGAGTTAAGATTCAGTACAATTCCTTTAGTTGTAAAGTTTTTTAATCATTTCACTTTTGGTAGGCTACTTTGTTTCTGTTAAACTTTTAAAAGAAGTTACATACATGAATTATATTTACACTGAAAACATAGCAGCTCATTTCATTATTATATTGATTCTTTTAATATGCATTAAAGAAGTTACATGTTATATTTATGGAAAATAAATAATTGTAGCTCATTTCATACATTTCATTAGTGATTCTTTTACAAAATGTAAATTATCTGGAGAAACATTTAATTTGGATAACTTATATATTCAAGAAGTTACATGTAATATCTATGGAAAATAAAACATTCTAGGTCATTTCATACATTTCATTTGTCATTCTTTCACAAACTGTAAATTGCTTTAACTGGAGGAACATTTAATTTGGTGATTCGTCAATGCTATAAAAATCCTCTATTAAAATTTCCATCAATAATAAATGGCAAATATGCCAAATTATTAAGTCAAAGGTCAAGTGCCATTTGTTTGGCTGAACAGAGAACAAAGTCCAGTTGCTTCTGCAGAGTGCTCAGTGTCTAAAACGCCATCTGGTTGAGGTTTCTTCTTTCTCAGTAATGGTGGCAAGTTTCTTATACACACATCATGTTTAAATTGCTGACCGATATTTTTCTGAAAGCAAAAAATAGCCTTTTTAATTTTATATATTTTGTGGTTGCTTACTTAAGACATAGATAGTCAAGTGGGCTCAAGTCAAGATTCATTATATTTTTAAGCATTTCTGACAACTTGAATACAAGATCATTTTACAGTACTGTGATGTCAAAATTTCATGATGCTAACATACAAAATTTCACGCAAACCAAAATTTCATTTTTCAACAAAGGCTTTACATAAAGTATTCTTTGTATAATAAACACATAATATATACATGAATATACCAAAAGTAATAGAGCAGGTAATCCTACCAAACAAAGTACTGTATATTTCATCTAATAACTTGGCATTCTGAACATTACAATAAAAATAATAACCAGAAAGCATTGTCTCTCTGAGGCAAAATCTACATCAATAACTACCCTGTGTGCAGACTCTAGTTATAAACTACCCTCTGCCTAGTACAGACTATATTACAGTTTAGTAGCCCCGCTCCCACGACTTATGCCCATGACAGCCTTGGACATAAATCATTTCAAACCTACCACGCTGATCATTACTTCAACTAATAGTGAGCTGGAAGGAACACATGCTAAATGCATGCTCATTAACTATGCGATGACATCAGAGGAACCATATATAAGTTGTCCGTATTTCGACGATGAATTCAATGAAGCTCTCTTTTAAGAAGCGAAGTGGAACTAATGCAAAGGTTAACAAATAACATAACATTATGCCATTTCAGAAATTAATTGTGGAGTTAAGATTTTATACTTCGAAGTCATTAGCCATAAATGATTTGTGTTATCAAATATTACATTTTTGAAGGTACTATGCAAATGTAAGGCATTCAGCCTCTGACATTTAAACCGAATCTGACAACTTCCATTTCAGTTATTGCCAGACAGACAAACAGATGGACAGATGAATGGATGGACCAACAGACAGACAGCCTTGCTTTATCACTACTCTAACTTTGTTCAATGGGTTATCAATAAATAATATAGCAACCACCCATCATACCAAGAAGTATCCTTAAAGTGTCCAACAAGAACAACGGCAACGCCAAAGTGTAGCGAATCACATCGAACAGAAATGGCTGCCATTTTTACAAACAAAATAAATAGCAAATATCATAAAATAACACCCATAAGAATGGTTGCTCACTAGCCAAGTTGTCATCAGAAGAAGTAATATGCTTTTAAGTAGCCACATATAAAATTTTTTAAAAAATCGCACACACATACATATATATATGTACATGTAAATGCTGGCCATTTTTTAAAATGGCCACCTACAACCCAAAATGCCATAAGACAGTATGCAATCCTTACGAGTATTCACATATCAAATATGAACAAAATCGCTCTATAATTTTTTGAATTATAATAAAAAATGTAAAATAACACACATAAAAATGGTGGCCATTTTTCAAAATGATCGACTTCTCCCCAAAGTTTGACAAAGACAATGTGCCATGCTTAAAGTATTCACATATCAAGTATGAACAAAATCGCTCCAATACATGTACTTTTCGAGTTATAGTAAAAATGTAAAAATGACAGCCATTTAATAAAATGGCCACCTACTACGCGAAGTGTCATGAGTTAGTGTGCAAGGCGCATAAGTATTCACATATCAAATATGAACAAAATCGCTCCACTACTTTTCAAGTTATAGTAAAAAACGTAAAAAATGGTGGCCATTTTTCAAAATGGCCGCCTACTACCCAAATTGTCATTAGACAGTGTGCCATGCTTATAGTATTCACATATAGAATATGAACAAAATCGCTCTACTACTTTTTGAGTTATAGTAAAAAATGTAAAATAACACACATAAAAATGGTGGTCATTTTTCAAAATGGCCGCCTACTACCCAAAATGTCATTAGACATTGGGCCATGCTTAAAGTATTCACATACCAAATATGAACAAAATCGCTCCACTACTTTTTGATTCACAGTAAAAAATGTTAAATAACACACGTAAAAATGGCGGCCATTTTTCAAAATGGCCGCCTACTACCAAAAATGTCATTAGACATTGTGCCATGCATAAAGTATTCACATACCAAATATGAACAAAATCGCTCCGCTACTTTTCAAGTTACAGCAAAAATCGTAAAATGACGTGTAAAGGCAGCCATTTTTCAAGATGGCTGCCATTTAGTTCTTCTGTATCTACATTTCTAGCTTAATCAATGTCCTATATAACCTTTTTACATTTATAGCATATTGCTATTACAGTTTTATATGCAGTACCTAAATTAATGTAAAATCGGCACTAAAATGGCCGCCATTTTTAAATGAGCGGCCATTTTGAAAATCAGTTTTCGAGCAGAACTTCTACCCCCATTGAGTAAATGTGTACAAAATATGAACAAAATCGGGCCAACAGTATTTGAGTTATTGCCCGGATGGAAGGACAGACGGACGGACGTACGGTAGTAAGTATGGACGTACGTACGTACGGACGGACGGACGGACGGACGGACGGATGGAGGCGTTCCCTATATCCCTCCGAACTTCGTTCGATGGGATAATAATTCTAGCTACATGTGAGTATAGCACATAGTTTACATTAGCAGATTAGAACAGATACTTTTTTATATGGGTATGTAAGCTACATTAATTACTGCATTGTTTCATTTTGTAACAATTGCGAGGGTACTATATAACATAGTAGAACAACAATGATATTGGGAAAATATTCCCTTGACATTTATCTTCACACACAACAGAACAATTTCAATAAGATCAAGTAACATCCACATGAAAATAAATAACAAGATAAAGTAATGAAAAATAGATAGCGAATGTATTGATTCATATATGCTTTTGTCATGAATTTTTGCTGGTTTTCATAAGAAATATTTCAGGAATTGTCTTGGAAAATTGTATAGCTTTGTAAACCATGAGTTTATTGATCGACAGTGTTGCATATTTCTAATAAATACCTAGAATATTTTGCCAGTCAATAAACATTACCTTTATGAAATTTGTCTTTTTGATACAGTATTATTATTATGCCATGGTGTACTCATATATAAACAACAAGCTTTTGAATACAAAAATTGATAGCTGGGGGACCACTTTTTAACTTGTTCTGATGGACCACTTTTTAACACGGGACATTTGCTCATGGAGTAAAACCTGTATATCTGAATACATGGCTAATCCGAACACCTACCAATCTGAACACTTTTTTCAGTCCCATTTTTTCCTCCCATTGACTCCCAATTTAAAAAAACTTGAAATGTGAACACCTCTCAATTTCAACAGTGAACAGTGATTTTTGAAAAATTAACCTGTCTAATCTGATTTGTAATCAATTACAAAATTGATCAAATATTGTTATGATATCATGGAATCAGAAATTGAATATCAAAACTTTCACACCGGAATAACAACGGTAACAACGGTATCTGACTTTACTGTTGTCAGGCTATTCCGATGTGACTTCCAGCACGACTAGATTCATTTGAATCAAATTTTTCAAATTTCTGAAATGCAATAAAGCTATGTCGTCAAATGAACTATAAACATGTAATGAGAATGTGTTCACATTTCTTCAGAATCCTAATCTCGCGAATGCAAGTGAACACCTCCTAATCTGAAAGCTTTAAGCCGGTCCCAATGACGTTTGGATTGGACAGGTTTTACTGTATATACATGACACATACACTAATTTAGTTCTAAAAAGGTTTATATCCAGCATCAACAAAATATTTCTAATAGTCATGTGCAATGTGTTTCAAAGCATGGCCTCTAGATCACTTTCTTCTAAGTATGTTACTCACGCCTATTATATTGTCCACTAGTTTCCTAAATGCATCCTTTTTCCTCTTTTCATTCACTGGTTTTTGTGGGGTTACATTTGTAAGCTTATTGTTGAAGTCCTAAAGGCAAATTGATTGATTTATGAATGTATATAACTTATCACAGGAAGGTACTACCAAGGGATATGACATATGATGCTCAGAGTGCTGAATAAATTCAATATTTAAAGGATGAAAGTGGTACAATTAAACTGAACTTATTATACTTTAATGGTATCAGAAGTTATTATTGAAGATGGTGCTATTCCTCTCGCAAAAAAGCATACATAAGGCTATACATCTGTTATCATCAATTGCAGGCATTTATTCCCGCACATACATGAGCAGAATATGGTTATATACAGTGTGAGCTAAAAAAACGTGAATCATATGGGTCACTCTGTGGTATTAATGAAAAGTTGAAATATCAAAGAAAAGTCAAACTGATACATCAATATTAACATAAGATCCGATAGGTCATATGAGTCTAAACCAACCTTAATCTTTGCGTCTGTTGTATTTGGGACTTTTAACAACACTTCTGACACTCCAGGGAAAACTGGCAACTGAAATTTATGAATCAAAACTTAATAGTTTTGTATTATCTTTCATTCTGTAAATAGCAGTGGATGGATACTGGGGTTTCAATGAAATGTGAGGTAGCCCCATGAGGAAAGTAGAGAACAATAACATTCTTCAATGTAATCTCAGTTTTTCAAATTGATATAAAATTAAGGGGAAGCTTCAAAATATCAATGTCTGATAGGAAACTAAATAAATTTAGTTTTGACCTAGGCCAACCTCCTGAAAACTAAATACCTCAAATATTGAAATAGGGAAGTTTAAGCTAGAGTTTTGGAAAATTTTATTGTAAAGATTAAAATATGCATCATAATTTTTGTATCAATCATAATCTATGATCTGTTTTATGTTCTACTGTAAGTATTTGAATGGAGTAGGTAGCTACTCATTTTCATGTTTGGGAAATGTCAAAATCCTGAAAAATGCTGGAGAAGGTTAACCCACCCAACTAAATTCATTTAGTCTCCTATCAGACATTGATATTTTGATGTTGCCCCTAATGGTAACATGATATTTACATAGATTAATAATAAATTTCCATTAAAATATATTCCTGATATTGTGGTTTTCTGCAAAAACCACAATATCAAAACCATGCTATTATTTATTGGCCTTGTATGTCATTATTATGAAAATGTATTGGATTCGATATTTTATGTACCAAAAGTTCATAAGCCTGTAAGCCTAAAGCAATCAATGTTGCTTGGTTTCCCTCATGTTGTCCATGGGTCTGTAATCCAATCAGAATCATGGCAAACAAACGACAAGCTGCTTCACTCGAGACCTGTTGGTTATGAACTAGCTAAAAAACAAAGAAAAAATACACTGTAGTCTAAAATACATCACTCTAAAGTGGTCATATCTATCTTAAAAATCACTTTGATGGAAATAATCCCATTTAATAATACTCCTTCCTAAAGATTTGCTCCTGGGACAACTATGGCTTATTTACTTAACAATACATGCATAATTAAGATGTCTAGAGGAATATTAAACATAATTTTTAGAAAAAATTATTTTGTTTTCTACATTGACACAGTGAGTGCACATTTTCCATTTTCCAGGCATTATCCATGTAACTATTCATTAAAACTCTCTCTATTCCAGTGGTTTTATAAGGAAAAGATCATTCACATGTTCCTAAGCATCCCTTTGAAAGAGCTCACTATAAGAGCACCATCAGATATATTTTGAGGGTGTTGTACCTGTTTTAATATTGGCCAGCATATGTTGATGCTTCTATTGCAAGTTGTTGTGTCATTCCAATTGAGGGCATTGAATGCACATAGCACCATTGAACTGCATATTGCCTGAAAAAGTATACATTAACATTAAAAAACATAATTTTGTTCCTCCATATTGTATTCAACATACCTACTAAAAACATCATCTTGCAATGCAAGTTGGCCCATGCAGGGAAGGGAATCATCCTTCTGTGTACCAGTGGCTTATTTTGACTTTTTATTTCACAAACTTTAGGCAAAAGAACCCTACTAATAACTACCTCATCTTGCAATGCAAGTTGGCCCAGCTCACTGAGGGAATCATCTTTCTGTGTACCAGTGGCTTATTTTGACTTTTTATTTCACAAACTTTAGGCAAAAGAACCCTACTAATAACTACCTCATCTTGCAATGCAAGTTGGCCCAGCTCACTGAGGGAATCATCTTTCTGTGTACCAGTGGCTTATTTTGACTTTTTATTTCACAAACTTTAGGCAAAAGAACCCTACTAATAACTACCTCATCTTGCAATGCAAGTTGGCCCAGCTCACTGAGGGAATCATCTTTCTGTGTACCAGTGGCTTATTTTGACTTTTTATTTCACAAACTTTAGGCAAAAGAACCCTGCTAAGAACTACCTCATCTTGCAATGCAAGTTGGCCCAGCTCACTGAGGGAATCATCTTTCTGTGTACCAGTGCCATGTTGAGATGGCTGAGATTCTACCAACGTCTCACTACTTTCCATTGTGTTATCATCAGAACTGGCATCTTTCCTTCTACTGTGGCAGATTGTAGCTGAAACAAAAAATAAGTAAAACATCAAATAAGGAAATGTGCATCGGTGATCAGTTGGCCCATTGAGTTTACAGTTTATTGAGTATACATGTACATACTACTATCATAAAAGATAAAATGTCACATTAAAGCTTGGTTATAATGTAAAATGATCACAGTAGAATGTTTGTTACTTCATATCACAAGAGATGTATTACTATGATTATTTTACATTGTACGTGTAAAATAAGGCATATATGTTGGTAAATTGGTAGGCAATCATGTGACTGGGTGATTAACCGTCAAGTGACATCTGGTAGTAAACTGAGGCTTACATTCAGAATATGACACTATATCCATAGATGTAATGGTGTGACACTAGATTGAGAAACACATATTCAGAATATGACATTCTACCCATAGATGTAATGGTGTGACACTAGATTGAGAAACACATGTTCAGAATATGACACTATACCTATAGATGTAATGGTGTGACACTAGATTGAGAAACACATATTCAGAATATGACATTCTACCCATAGATGTAATGGTGTGACACTAGATTGAGAAACACATGTTCAGAATATGACACTATACCCATAGATGTAATGGTGTGACACTAGATTGAGAAACACATGTTCAGAATATGACATTCTACCCATAGATGTAATGGTGTGACACTAGATTGAGAAACACATGTTCAGAATATGACATTCTACCCATAGATGTAATGGTGTGACACTAGATTGAGAAACACATATTCAGAATATGACATTCTACCCATAGATTTAATGGTGTGACACTAGATTGAGAAACACATATTCAGAATATGACACTTTACCCGTAGATGTAATGGTGTGACACTAGATTGAGAAATACATATTCAGAATATGACACTATACCCATAGATGTAATGGATTGACACTAACTTACCAATCAGATCAATGTATTCCCTAGTAAGCTGTCTCGTCAACATGTCATCCAAGACCTCCTTTGATTCTGGGTTTGCATCTTCCAATACCCTGAAAAACAAACAAAAATTATACATGTACTATAATTTTTCAGAGAGTTGGATTGATATTTTATTATCATGGGGACTTCAATTGAAAGAAAACATAAAACATATTGTTTTAATAAAAACCACTGTATTTATGGCCAGAGAGTTCTCATGGTGAAAGATATGAATGTCTAAAATCACTTGCCATACTGCACATGGACCTTTTAAAATTTGAGGCCTTTTTTGATATTTTGGCCCAAAAAGGCCCATTTTTTGTCCCAACAAACTTTTTCTCAATGTAAATGTACAAAGTTTTTGAGGCCTGCTATTATCAACTGTGACCACTTTTCAACACCACTTCGTTAGATATCAAAAATATATGTATTAATGATACTTTGGTCAAAAGATGGTGCTTTATATGTAGCATGTGCAATTGAACAGCTAACTGACTCCACTATACTGAAAACTGCAGCAAATGTTACCATGGCATAAATGAAACTCCTCCGACACTTTTTTTAGATAGCAAAATGTTTTACTTAGAAAGGTTTTACTGTATTTTGCTGGCACTTTTGAAACATTTTTCTACTGGTTAAGATAATTTTGAAATGTATTTGCTTAAGTTTTAGGTATTTCAAGCACATTTTGATAATATTGAATAAGTCTATGATAGAAGCCAAAGTGGTTTAAACTTTATATGGGGCCTTTAATTGATATACAATCTACCTGAGTGGTTTTATAACTACTATATCTTAAACTTTCTATTATCAATTTAGGTTTATTTACTCATAATTGAGTTTGGACAAGCACTTAATTTTCTCACAATAACCTTCTTGAACAGATCAATATGAAGTTCTTAGATAGAGGCATTTAGACTATAGGATGTATCCTAATTATCAGTTGATAAAATGGTTATCTGTTTATGTTACAAGGCTGATATATAAAAAGCATAACATGATAATAGATTAAAAAATACCAGAACCAATTTCAAACAGAGACAATTGATTACGGGTAATATTTGGAACAGAATTACATCATGTAGTTCTGCAAAGTGTATTACACAATAAAGAGACTGTATGAGAGAGGAAGCAGTCAGCTATAATCTTAATGATCTAAACTCTAACTTCAATGACTATTTACAACATCTTAAAAGTGAAGTAAATGTCAACTAGAAAAACAGCAACTCCCCAGAGAAGCATATCCCATCAAACACAGCATATTTTATCAAATTACTTTTAATTACTCATTTCAAGCATTTCATGATGGACATAACCAGAAAGTAGTACTGTCTTCTTTTGGCAAAGTCAGCAACCATGAAATGACATCATATATTGAGATATTTATTTTGAAATAATAATTATTTGACATTAAGGGTCATTAGCCCATAAAATTTGAGCATAATCTGATAACCGTATTTGAATTATCGGAAATTATATTTTTCTATAAAAGCAAGGCTTTTTAAAATTCAGCAGCCATCTTGTAAAATGCTACACCCATGAGGCACAAAGTCATAAATTCTTACTAAAATCTGACAATTGGTATTTGAGTTATTCTTTCATGAATTAGGCACCCACATTGGAAATTCTATGCCAATAAGGTATTATTCTATAGAACCTATTCTGTTGACCAGTATTTGAATTATTGACTGGACTGACAAATAGACAAATAAAATGGATTCAGATAGAAAGTCAGACAGACTGATGGATGGACAGACGACAGATGGATGGATGGATGGATGAACGGACATCTTGTAATATATAGATACACTGTCCCACATGTTTTCAGACGGACGGACCAACAGGTGGACAGACAGACAGACAGACAGACAGACAGACAGATGGCAACTTATTTTTCTTCCAAACTTTGTTTGGTGGGATAACATCATTAACAACAGGAAATATAAAACTGCAGTGATTTTCTGATTTCATACTCTGATTGGATGTTGGCTAGATTAGAAATCAATAAATGTGCAGAAAGATTAATCTGTTGTAACAAGGGATACCACTATATATAGGAATGAGGATCGAAAGTGGCATCATATGTATCATGTTCCCAATGGGCTATCAGTAATGGCAATAATGATTTTACTATATGCATTTTATATAGTAAAATAGCACAAATAAATAATTGGATATGGTGGGCAGATTTATCACATGAACATATTAAGAATAGCAGGTGCAATCTATTGGTATGTGGGATCAAACAACCATTCACAATGGTTAAATGAATAAAAGAAACATATACTGTATTATATACACCAGTGAGTACAATATATGATCAATGATATTGAGAATCATTCTAAAAAAGCACATTTATAAAGACAACCATGGATACAACCCAAACAATCTTTGTAAACTTTTCTCCCATTATAAAATCAAACCTTACAACAGGGATGGAAATAGGACAGTATTTCGCCAACAGCGCACATACAGCCATAGGAATCTACTTAACGTTAATAGCCATATTAGGAATAGTAGGAAACACGCTTGTGATAGTGACATTCTGGTACAATAGGACTATCCTTTTGCCAACATATTCTTTCATTCTGGCTCTGGCAATCGTTGATCTTGGCATGTGTATCTTAGGAAATCCATTCCCAGCAGCCTCTAGTTTATCACATAGGTGGATATTTGGGAAAGCAGGATGTGACTGGAATGGGTTTCTTACATTTTTTACAGGATTGTTTGGGATGTACATTCTTATGATGATCTCCATTGATCGTTTTATCATTATTGTTAAAGCACCAGAAGAAAGGGTGAGTAGAGATTGTATTACTCACTAGTTTTGATTATCTAAGGGCATACTTTTACAGGATGATTCTTGGACATTCAGCAGAAGGAAGGAACTGCAAAATACAATGGTTGTCTCATAAGTAATGTTCTGTATGCTTTAACTTTTATAATACTAGAAAACAGCAACTCCAAAGAGTAGCAAATCCCACCGAACAAAAAATGATTTGATAAATAGCGGCTATCTCGAACATTCCTTCTCAAACAGAGCTCCTATGTCCCTAGGCATGCCATAAGTATTTAAAATTTAAGCCAGATCAGTCCATTGGTATTTGAGTTATCAAAGATTATGTCTTTTACGAGAAATGGTGGCCATTTCGAAATTCAGCAGCCATCTTGAAGATCTCTTCTTGAGCATAGCTCCTTTGTCCCTAGGCATCAGCATATAAAATTTTAACTACAAGTATTTGAGTTATCAAAGATTACATGTTTTACGAAAAATGATGGCCCATTTGAATTGAGTGGCCTATTCAAAATTCCTTCTTCAGCAGACGTCCTTCACCCATAAGGCATAAACCTATAAAATTTTAATCATATCCGTCAACCGGTATTTGAGTTATCACCTGGACAAACAAACAGACGGATGGACAAATGGATGGGCAGATGCCTTTTCTATATCCTCAAATAGTAGGATAATACTATTCTTCAATGAAATTGTAGTCTCTCTAGTGCCAGAATCGGACCAACATGTTTTCAGGTACATCACCTCAGCTGGTCTCTTAGGCTTGACTACCTGTAAATCAAATTGTTGAGTCTAGGTTGGTTAGGTGGGGATACACTATATCACATTCGAAAAGAGCATCTTATGAAGGCAGTTATGAGGGATCTGAATCTAATGATTTTCTGATAAGTATAAGTATCTAAGGTACTTAGAACATACAGTATACTCATTCTTGTACCAGTAGATATTCTTCTATAACAATTAGCAGAATAATCTCACAAGGCGATTTATTAGGATAGGCAACCAGTACTTTTATTACAGTTATACATTACTCATATTACATGGCTGTTGTGATCTGGAGTTTACAAGGAGTTCTTGTCATGTCAATTATAGATATTTCAATATGCTGATGGAATATGTTTCATTTACTTTTTGTTTCAGATTTCCCATAAATGTGCCTTAATATTGGTAGTATTCTGTGGGTCTGTATCTTTAATATTTGCCACTATGCCTTTACTTGGCTGGAGTTCCTACACACTTGAGGGAGCAAACACTTCGTGCAGTGTCAACTGGCAAGGCAGATCAATGGGAGATACATCCTATGTCATTGTAACATTGATGATCTGTTTTGTTATCCCAGTTGGTGTTATGATGTACAGCTACTTAAGAATATTTTTTCATGTAAGTTGAAATGTATAAAATCTAAAGTAGAAACAGGAAAGAATAAAATACAATGCCATGCTGTACTTGGTCATAAGAATTTGCTTAAAAGAATTTGTTTAAATGGTAACTCTCTTTATCCTCTTGACTACCGAGAGTGACAAGATTTTCCGTCACCTAAGAAATGACCTTGAAACCTAGGGTGACGAGATAATCCGTCACAAATCTTTCACTAAAACTGCTCTCATTTGTACAAATTTCATCCAATTTACACTAAAATCATTTTAAAAATTTGTAGAAATAATTCCTTCCAACTAATTTCACTAAATTCAGCATCACCTGTTGTATGTGTATGTAGTAAAATGTCAAAAGTTGGCAAAAATAAAAAAGTCTCTGGTGTCAACCAATTTTACAGCCTAGAGTTTGTTCTCACAATGTCATTTGTTACTTTGAAGGTCAGACGAACTACAAGAGGTTTCAGCTTTCGGAGAACCAAAATGAGGTCAGTGAACATGAAAAAGACTTTGGCCATGGAAATGAAGATTGCATTCATGATAGGAATCATGATGGGTAATTGTCTAATTATAATCCTAACCTAAATGTTAACCTCCATTTCATCAACATTATATTGAAGTTTAAGTAGTCATCATCCTTTTGAGTTAGTATCTCAGATTCATCCATGTATGAGTATGTATTTGTACTTGTTTATTATATGTTTATCTGTAGACTGAAGAGAGGCATTATATACACTGTATATATATAAATGTATACATCCTTTATCTCTTTCAGGTGCTTTTATCCTCTCATGGAGTCCATATGCCATTGTGTCATTGTGGGCAGCTATTGGCGACTCAACAAGCATTCCACCTTTAGCTACAGTTCTACCAGCAGTCCTTGCTAAATCAGCCATTGTATGGAATCCAATTATATATGTTGTGATGAACAAGAAGTTTCGGGCAGCTATGGTCAAACTGCTACCATGCAGTTGTTTGAGACAAAAGAAAGCACCTGTAACTGAAGTAAATATGTTTGGACACGAAGCAGAGAAACATGATATAGATGGCATAGAGTTATCTTAGCACCATTGACATGTGACTCAACAACTTGCTTTACCTTAATGACGCAGTTTACCATTATAACTAAATTGACATGTCTCATCAAAAACAAAGTAATAATACTTTTTTTTTACCAAGGACTGTTGAATTATTTATGATTAAAAATTTGATGGAGAATGCTACATCTATTCAATATCCCTAAGATTCATACACTAACATTTCCTGGAGAATGCCACACCAGTAGCCAATGTAACTATGACTTATGATTCAACATATGCAAGATGTCATGTCTAACCAATGTATCTATGACTTGTGATTTAGTTAATCATGAAGGATGTCATATCTAGCCAATACATCAATGACTTATGATTTAACATATCATGGATGAAGTCATATCTTGCCATGTATTGATGACTTATGAGTTAACATATCATGGATGAAGTCATATCTAGCCAATGCATCAATGACATATAATTATGACTTCATTATTTAAAGTTTCATGGAGGATGTTGTATCTAACCCATGTCACAATGACTTCAGAGATCTAGAATTGCATGAACTATTGCATGAAATAGAAATCTATTTTGTTGAGAGGACAATCAATGTTGTAATTGGAAATCTGGTAAAGAGCCCTTGAGAATTGTACGATATAATCTACACTGCACAATAATAAACTGTGAAAAATGTCAGAGCTGTTCAGCCTTAAGTACAATACAGTCACGTAAAAGTCTTCAATACAATACAGTCACGTAATAGTCTTCAGTACAATACAGTCACGTAATAGTCTTCAGTACAATACAGTCACGTAATTGTCTTCAATGCAAAAGTTCAATGCCGTAGAGCTACTGTAACTGTATCATTGTAATAGTCAAATCTCAAATACCCCAACCCCTGTAAATAAATATGAAACATGTTGATACTCACAGCATTTTTGAGAGTTATCTTAACACAACAGGTTTCCAAGTTTTGGCAACCTACAAATTGTATATGGCATAGGTATTTCTCATTTTCCTTTGGCCTACCATTTATTCCTTTTTAAAGGATGATTGGTTTTGTAGCAAAATATTTCAAAATATTTGCACTTTAAAAAGCAGTGAGGGGGTTACACACTGGACAATTGGAAATGTCTACAAAAATGTCTAAAGAACTTCACTATTTAGAACAATAACCCCCTTAACCCTTTGAGTGCCGGGGGTTTTTGGAATTGTTATGACGTCAAAATGCCACGGAATTACGACTAATATTGATGAAAAAAATCGATTTTTATGTTTTTTCCACTCCGTGATATTTCTTCCACTGGTATCTATCTTGATGATATTGCAAGTGTTAAAATGCTTTATTTTCACTTTTAGTTACTATGGTAACATGTTGAACGTCACTTAATCAATACAAATTTCAGTCCTTAGAGGGGTTTTATAGCTAAAATTAACATTGGAAATATCGCACGATTGAAAGAAAAAGAAAAAAACTTTGAACACTAAACGTAATTACTTCTAATAATGGCAATTATTGTTTCATGCGCAACACATTTGGCGACGCTTATTAAATATTTTAAGACAATAATTCAAATTAAAATATGATACAAATATTTATCCTCTTTCTTTTATTATTCCTTCTTTCAAATTAAAGAAATTGAGCATATACGAACAATACACTATGCTATGCACAAAAACAATGAATAAATATACAATATCAGGATAATTCAAATTCATACAAATTCAGGATAACTTTAATTGGCTGAACATGTGTGATGTGTATAATGAACCATGGTTTAATTATGAAAGCCCACTTGTACTCGTTTGTATAAATCGTAAACGTGAAGCTAGTAACATGCGAAACAAGTGACCAACAAAATAGTATGTATAAGCCACATCTTATACATTACGTTATATTATAATAAATGAATCATGTCAATATGCTAGTCTGTTAGTATTTTCAGCACACATGGTGTCTGCAACAGTCCAAGTGAAATCCCTTGGCACACTTGGCAAATGCATTACGGCATTTACGCCTCTTGCCTGCATCCTTATCACTACAAATCGAACGCAGCAGTCCTTTTCCCGCGTTCCAGGAAGTTTCCTGACCCTCACGATCGGCTGGTCAATGATGGATATCTACAACTAGGGAGGCGACGAAGGCCATGTGAAAGTCTAACCTTGAAAGCAGAGCTGCATTGTTTTCATTAGAAATTTTATTAGCATTGAGCAACATTCTCTGTATAATGTACACTTTCACTTTCTTCATGCTGGATATCTAGGGAGGCGATGACGGCCAGGTGAAAGTCTAACCTTACAAGCGGGGCTGGTTTTTCTCCTTATAAATTTAAAGATAATCAATACTGCGCTAATCCATTTTTATTTTCTATTGAAAGTATACTGTGTGATATCTCAAACATACTCAGACAACCAATTTTACTTTGGATAAACAATATTCCAAATCAGCCTATAGCATTAAATGATTTAAATGACTGATATCTCAAACGTACTCAGTCAACCAATTATACTTTTGATAAATTATTTAAATGACTGATTTGTTAATTACGAAAATAGACCGAACATAGTCTGATTCCATCCATCACCTGGTATAAATGAAAAAGTCATTTTTATATCGTCCATGCTTCAACGTAGTGTAATACTTAAAATGATCAACACTGCACTGCGCTAAACGCCGATCTCAAACGTACTCAGACAACCAATTCTACTTTGGGTAAACAATATTCAAAATTAGCCCATAGCATTAAATGATTTAAATGACTGATTGTTTTAATTATGACAATAGGCCGAACATAATCTGATTCCATCGTTTATCAAGAAGATGTATCAATTATTAGTCAGTTAGTATGGCCAAAAGCATTGTCAACTATATTTCGAGATAATGTTTGCGATATGAAATCTGTGAAAGATTCAGTTAAAACAAAAGAGTTTTCCTTGGGGGAGATAAGGGTAGTTACGGAAAATAGTAGAATGTTTGTCATTATCCACAAAAACAAAACTTTAATAGTATCGTCGTAAAAATGTTTTCTGCAATGCGGTACATGAAGGCATGCAGTTGATTATGCAAGTATTATAGAACCAAATACATGAAATAAAGTCTTATTTGCGTGCAACTGCTACAGAGGTTTCAAAAATTTCTTGATAATATGAGTTTATTTCTTCATGTATTTGAATGGAGTTTGTTTGATGTACAAATCTTTCCTCGCCCAATGTTGAAGTACATTTGTACATTTTCAGATGGAAAAAGAATATCCCCGCTATTCTATAATACGAATTAAGGTGTAATAAATAGAAATGAACAAATATGTCAGCATTTTTCAATCTACGTGGATTCTGTAAAAGAACACGTAAGGTACGGTTTCAAAGTATGCTGAAAAGGATATCTGCTTATACATAGATACACGCGCGGCCTTGACAGAACAAACCTACTAACCCATATACGTGGGCTACTAACCTAGATACGTCTAGCTAATTTGCATAAAGTTGTAGCAGTCTGAATCCACTTTTTTTGCTCTAAACTGGCTGTATAAAAAATGGAATTTATTAGTCTTTAACTCTGCTGTTGATTGATAGACTTCGAAAAAAATAATACCATGGTTTTGCTCGGAAGTATAGCTTTCCGATGGTTCCACTTTTGTAATGACCAAATTGCGAGAAAATGGAGGAAATGGAGAGTAAAGGTAATTTCTCGAATGCCAAGTTTCACTTAAGAAATGCTGCGTTCTGATTGGCCGACTTTCTTGCAGTCCCAATCCACTTTAGCTCTCCAAACTCACGTTTTACAGAAATGACACTTATCGGTCTTTTCTCCGCCATTTTTCGATCGATTTCTAAAAGCATAATGTCATAGTGAAGCTTACATTGTCAGTTTCCCGATGGTATCACTTTTGAAGCGATCCACGTGCGATAAGTAGGTGAAATTTGAGCGTGAAAAAGTTTCTCGATAATCAAGATTCACTTTAGAAATACTGAGGAATCTGGCATTCTGATTGGTCAGTTTTCCTGCATTCTCAAGCCACTTTTCTGACTCCAAACTGAGTTGTTAGAAATGGCACTTACATCTCTCGATTTTGTTTCACAAAATGACTAAAATCTGAAACTGATATACCTGAAATGTCAGTGTAAAGCCATGAATCAAATCCAAAATTATTCAAGAAGACGAGGTTATATGTAAAAACGATGAAATAAAACTAAAAACCTCTCTGGTTTTATGTAATTCTCGCCTCTGGAATGTCTGAAGAATACCTAAACCCCAAAGTCTTTTGCTCAAAATAAGTGAAACTAAAAATAGTATTAGTAACTAGAACCCACGGGCCACGGGAGTAATTGTATAGTTTCTAAATAGCTGAATAACGCTGATATAATAGATATCACTTTTGTTTGTTTTTGACTTTACTTGGGCCAGACCTCCATTCACTTCAGTGCTAGAAACGTGCAATAGTCACTAAATTTCATTATTTATCAAAAAGTGTTGGTTGAATCTGTCTGAAACTCGAATGACATACTATTGGATGACCCTGTCAATGTACATATTGTGATTAAACATGAAATGTTGGTTGTCATACAAATTAGCCAAGGTTTGAATGAATTTTAGCATTGTTTTAGCATAGTTTTTTCAAATGTCATGGAAAATGATTTAAATGACACAACTGTATAAATCAAAGCTATTATTGGAGAAAACTTGTCACTGAATTCAAATATGCTATCAAAAATAGAGATAATAGAGATAAAAAGTGCAAATCTCTTAAAATCTCGACATGAAAAAACGAGAGTTAACGAGATTTCAAAGCTATCTAGAAACGCCAGATCTTCTATTGCATACGGTAGAATTTAAATGCACGCGAGTAAATTGTTATTTTATATATGTTCTTCTAATATGAATTAAAAAAATTGATGCCATCTCTATATTTATCATTGCCGAAATTATGTACAAGGGAGGTACTGTATATTGTTGCAATTCACAATTTCAGGGAAAATAGGCTGTAATCGGCCCTTGTGCCCTGGAGTAGAAATAAACGATATCTAGGACAAAATATTTCGTATCATTAAATTTAAACCCTTTATTTTTTATTTTTTTAAAAATTATTTATGTAAAATTCTTTAAAATTAAACTTACTGCAATATGATACTGCAATTGAGCCCATCGTCTTCACTGGTAGGGTAAAACAGGTTAATTGTATTAAATAAACACAAAACTAAATAGTGGATTCTTTATATTTATGATCATTCAAACACTGTTTATTAGACTCCAGATGAAATCTGGAGTCTATTGTTTTCGTCAGTTTTCTTATTATTCTTTTTCTTATTATTATTATTCTAAGCAAGTTTTCTCAATAACTGTAAAATCTTTAGTTAAGACAATCATTTGGTCAATTTAGGTTCAGAATCTAGTTCCTCGGAAATTGGATCAAATTTTTATCTAGGTCAAAGATCGAGAACTAGGTCAAATCCAGTACTTTGTCACTTTTTGCGATTTTCTCGGTCGTACTTCAATATTTTCGATCCGGGTTTTTTTCATTGAGTTCCTTATAAAAAAGTAGAAAATCTAGGATCGATTTAGTTTTTTGATATCTCAAACCGATTTCGAGATATCAGTGTCCGAAAACGAGGTCCAAAAAAAAGTTCTCCGAATTAAATGTCCAGGATATTAGTCTTATAGGAAATTTTATCAGGATTCCGAATCTGAAAATGAAATTTGGATCAGACTTCCGGTTCTGAAGTTATGGCGTTTTGAAAGCTCAAAAATCGCTAAATTTGGAGCCCATGTTAAGTCAATGGGAAAAAAGATTTTATTGAAGTGAAAAATACGAAATATAGACTGAGTTCAGCTAAATATAATGAAAGCTTTTAAAAGAATGGGACCTCAAAAGCCATCTAGCTTTAAAATTTGGACACCAAAAT